TTGCATTTACTACATCTCCAAGTCTGTATATGACATTTCTGAAGGCAATGGAATTTGAGGGTGGGAGGAACCCAGGTGAGATGTTGAAGCAGAGATTTGAAGACTACTGCTTTTTACAAAAAAAAAGTTTCTTCTTCTTGCTTCTTTTGATTGTTTGGAATTTTATTAGAGTGCCTCTCCTGTTTTTTTGTTCTTTATTTTGCTCTGTGTTTCCTGTCATGATTCCCAAATGCTAACACCMATCTCCAAGGCTGCTTGCTACCAAATGGCTTGCCTCTGCTACACTGCACAGCCAATTTACTGGTGGCTTCCAGCTCAGACTTACTCATAAATTTGTCACAATTATAATACTTCCATGGATGGCACKTAATAGATTTGTTACCCTTTATATGAAGCAGTATATCTAAATAAAACAAATGAACCCATAGAAAAATTGTTAATTACTGTGTGTAATATATATTCCAAAGGGAGACAGATTACTTKACTCCTTGAAAAGCCAGTCTTCCAGGGAGGGTTCCCAAAAAGACAAAGACTACTGAGAAATAGCTTTGTTCATTTCCCTCTCTTCTGAGGTATCCCACTTCCATCAGGGAGGAAAMCTCCTATGAAGCTCCCTAAATCTCTAACCTCTGTGCTTCAAACTTTCCCTCTCCCCTGCTGAAAGTAAAGCTCAGTTTTGTAGGACCTATCCAAGAGCACCTGCTGGTCCCTCCACTGTCTGTGCCAACGGCACAGCACTAACTCAGCCGTGGCATTTACGAGCTGTTTAATGCACAYACACAGAGCAGTGTGCACGTCCACTGGGCATCAAGGGGAAAACTAAATTAAATAGGCCCAAGAGCTTCCAGGGACTGGGCAGAGGAGGAAAAGGAAGAGAATTGTCTGAGAAAGCCCTGGTCCCTGTTAGTCACCCATAAGGAACAGCAGCGGAATTGGATAACTGGAGGAGGAGCGCTTGTGTTTTGACAGCTGAACTCACTGCACCTATCTCTCACCCTCTCTCTGTTGCTGTAAATCCCTCTCTGGTGTGGCATTTTTACCCAGAATTTAACACAGCTTGCCTCTGTGCCTGATGGCCCCATAGTTGACATGCTGAGGAGATAAGGCATATGAGGCATATGTTGAAAATAATGCACTTTAATGAGAAGGAGCTTTAGGACACCAGCTTGGTTAGCTACAGAAACCAAGGTGGAATAAGAAAAGGATAAGAAATAAGTATCAAAAGATTGCAGATCTGTGCACTGTGTATCACAGGAAACAGACTTGTTTGTGCCATTAAACATTCTGTACAGGGGAGGTCTCTGTGAAAAGTTATGTCTTCTGGCAGTGTCGTGGCTCAGCACTGAAATGCAGAGGGTTGGAGGCGCAAGAAAAGGGGTCGCTGTGAGTTCTCTCCTGTCCTCTCCTCGCCTTTAAAAGCAGGACAGCCAGCAGCTTCCATTCAGTACATGATATCTTTGAAGTAGCCTATAAAAATTCACCCAGTGCAGGAATCTCCACACTTTCTGAGTTCTCAGGCTGGTTTTTCCCATTTCCATGTGCTGCTACAGTGAGCAGACAGGGACATCCCAACAGCGTGATGTCACACAACGACTTTGTCTGCCACGGAGCAATTGGCTGTGAAATGTCCTCGTGTGAGGGCCAGGGCCTCCTACACCCAAAGCAAACGTGAGCAYTGGGGAGTGAGACAACCACAAAGAACTCGCTGTGGAGCATGGTTCAGGCTGCCAACTCCTGGAGCAAATCAGAGCTGGAGGGATCCTGAGCCAGCTGATGCTACTGGCATCATGTCAGCACCCGCCTGTCAACATAAAAAGGGTTTTATCTTGTCTACATGTCCTGGTCCTGACATGCACCCAAACACCCTCCTGCCTCTCTGTGGGTTGGGTTAGCACCAGAGACCATTCAAAGAGTGCTCTGCCAGGTGTTCACAGGCTTTTGGTAATGAGTSTTTGTGTAGTATTGAATCTTCTTCCTTAGAGACTAAGCCAGAAAATGAAATCACCACTGCATATTATTCCTTCTGAGAAAGGGCCAACATTACAGATATCTCAGCTTATGAACCAAAGTTGGCTYTACTTTTGTGCTGCAGCCAGAAATGTGTGCTCAAGGTGTAGCTAAAGGTCAAATGGCCAAGCCATCCTGATAGGACTTCTCTAACAAAGATAAACATAGTACTTAACCTACGTAAAAATTCTTTTGCCAGCAACCTTAGCATGCAATGCCAAAGTTACACAACTTTACAGCTCTCTAGTATTGCGACAACAGATGTATATATGAGATTAGTGTGACTGATGCTGTCAGATGTCTAGATGTRTGTTTACAATCCAGCTCCACAAGCTCCTGGCAGAAGTAACAATTCCCTTACTCTTTCATTTACAACCCTTATTCTTCCATTTTGCACCTTGTTTGGCTTGGTTTTTGGTTTGGTTAGGATTGGTTTAGTGTGGTTTCAGAAGATATGTGGACCTGTTCACTCTTCAGAGAAAACATGGGAAATTTCTCACTGTGCTCTTGAAAGCTCTGCCCATCTTCTCAAACTTCGTTGTAGGCTCAGGATTTATGTACCATTAGCAAGCASCAAATCCTGATTGTCAGGAGCAAAGAGTGTTCTGATTTGTAYGATATCCCTCCCTGGCAAATCTGCTATATCTGCAGGGATGCAAGCATTGYCCCAGAGCAATTCTTCCTCATGGGTGAGCAAGATAATGCACTGACCTCTTATTTTGTGAGGCTCTGGGCTAAAAGGACATTACATACCCTTCAACAGCAACTAGAGGTGCTCCCTTGTCAAGCAAAATGTATATTAGGGTGTCTTGTGGCTTTGCTTGCAGGAGGGACCTTTGTTTGGAAGAAGTTTTGAGTTTTYAGAAAAAGTGAGAATATCAGAGGCTTGGTAGTTTGCTGAACCTGCTTATGAGGTGCCATAAGGATATCTTGAAAAATTTTCTTGGCCTCTTTAAGATTCTGTCTGGTTCCTGTAGRCAGATTTTCTGGGAAGTGTTTCTGCAGTCTCCCCATGTACATGTGGCATACACAGACATGGTGGTGCAAAGTCACTGCCACAGCACAGCTTCTCCTGTCCCCAATAGGCTCCTACACCGACATGCAGCTTCCAGCAAAGACAAGGATGTCAGTTCCTAACCATGTTAAAATAGTATTCTCTTCCTCCTCCCACTTTCTGAAGGAGGTATGGGTGGTATATGTAAAAGTAGTACTTGCTRACGGTTCTCAGGGGTATCAGTTCAACTACTTGGTTTGCTCTACTGCTTTGTTTGCATGGATTGCTTTTTTTTAGAAAAAGATTATGTCAAAACTAAAAGCAAAATCTCAACTGTAGAGGCAAGCTGGGTCATACACAGTTGCACTACAAGGAACAAGAAWGTGTTCAGCTCCCAGATCTGTTACTTCTATAGACTCTTCTCTCTAGACTGGCTTTCTTTTGATGGTTTATATTTGAAGTGTCCAGTRCTCTATATTCTAGCATTTTCTGTTGGTTTTGCTCTTTTATTCTAGTTCTTTATTCTTCTGTAGGTATTTTCCTTCCATTGTGTTCCTCACTGATCTGAATGAGTTTCATGGGTTACAGCATCCCTGGCCTGCAGAGCAAAGAGGGTTATTTATGTGCACTGAATATCTGCAAAATGGAAAATCATATGCTCAGAATAATCTCTTGGATGAAGCACAGTAGCCCCAGATTTATCAAAAACACAAATGTCGTGGCAGCTTGCAAGCTTCAGATTTAAAGCTGGAGTTGTCCTTTCCCAAAATGTATCAGTGTTCAGATCTAGGATTATCTCTACATCGGCAGTATAAAAATAAGCAAGCAAGAAAATCAACGCCTTTATGAGTTTAATTTTGAAGTTCTTAAATAGTATGAATGAAAAATATAGACGTCTGTCCCTCTGTCTGCTGTGATTGCTTTTCATTACCCTATTTTTGAATGAGAGAGCCTGACTTTCAGCCTAAAATATGAAATGAGTAGATTTGAGAATGAGATAAGGAACTCATCCTTCTCACAAGTGTCTCTTCTGTCTGTGCTTCTGGTTGGCTTCCAGATTTAGTTTGGCTCTACCTCAATCTCAGGGGGTGGAGCCTCACACAACTTTGAATCCTGGCAGTGTACATGTTTACATGTAGCCTATCCATCTAGCTGTGTTTAGAGTTAGCAGAGTAAAATAAACTCYTCTGGGGTGAGATTTGTCTTACTGTGATGCAGACTCTCACGTGCAGTACTTTAGAGGTGTGTCATACTTTGGGACCCATTTCTGGCAGAGGAAGTTTGGTGAATCAGCTCAGATGTGGCGGTTTATATTCCGGGCATCCAGAGTTGGTTCCCACTACATCCRTGGGGAGTGGATGCTCGTAGGGAACCGAGCTCTGCGTATCTGCAGGTGGACTCACTCATATTTCCTCTTTCATGAAATCTGCATGAACTTCATGAAAGAGCACTTGGTCTCTTCTTAGCAGTATAGGTGGGCAGTGAGAAGAACAAGGTTCTGCTCTGCTAAGGAGCCCCAAAGCTGATGGACTGTGCCTTAGAGAGCACTTGTGAGCTAGTGATGAGGGCGGTGGGTACATCTGATTTGGGGAAGGGCTCTCACCTAAACTTACCAGCAGTTTGGCTGATGGTGTTGACACAAAGGCAAGGAGCAAACTAGAGTGCAGCTTGCTRCACTGGGATAAACAGAGCAAGAAAAGCCTGGGACAGCCCCTGCTAATGCTGCCAGGGCTCTGCTCCTGGCAGTGCTCAAATGAGACTGAAGCTTGTTGGGGTAAGATGGGGGCTATGGGCATAGGCTGCCTGTGGGGAGCTGTTGCAGATGTTTGTGTGGCTGTGCTGTCGGGTGACCAGGCCCTGTGCAGGGCGATGAGAGAGGGAGGTTAATTTTGCCCGCTGAAACCTGCCACCTCCACCAAAAATAAGACAAAGGAACCAAGGATGTTAGGAAACTAAAAAACTGTGAAAACAAAGTGAATCTCTTCACTTTTCTCTCCAGGTCGCTACCCACAGCAAAACAAAGGCACTTATATCCCAATCCTAGTAGGTAATGTGCTGAAACCTGGTCAGTGGGGAGCCAAGATTATCCACCGGGAAAACAACTCCATTCGGCTGTCTATCATGTCCTCTACCACCTGCATCATTGGGAAGTTTCGCCTGTATGTTGCTGTCTGGACTCCCTTCGGCATCCTTCGGACACGGAGGAATTCAGCTACCGACACTTACATCCTGTTCAATCCCTGGTGCCAGCGTAAGTACCTTGTCAGAGGCTTACACTTTCTCTACTGGGCTCATCTGGTTTTTGGAGGGTTGGTACAGGAAGGGTAGCTTTGYACCAAGGAGGTTGGAGACGTCAGTTTGTGTCTGGAAAATTCACGGGAACTTCCAAAAGTGAAGTCTTTCAGGCTGGGGAACAGCCCTGTGTGAGCAGGGCTCCATGCTGGAAACCAGTGCCTATGTTTTATCTAAACTGCAGTTTCATGAGGCCAAGCCTGTGCTTGCCAGTTCAGGCTCCATTTCTCATAGTAAACATACCCCACGGCTTTACTCTGACTTGAACAGGCAATAGTGAGAGTCTCCAGTGTGCCTGTGTGTGCCTTAACCAAGTCAATATGGGCATCTTTTTTCCAAAATTTRGTGTGGGGCAGGATGTGGCAGCCTTGCATGCTCTGTTGACTCACATCGCTAATTTCCACAATTAGGATTGAATATCTGCAGTCAAAATCTTGCAGGRATTCAACAGGAACTTCTGCTCCTGCACAGGTTGAGTGGAGTCAACTTGCTGTGGCATCACTGGTGGTGCCTTCCTGCTGCTACATGACATTTGCCCTTATAACTTCCCCTTTAGTAGTGACTAATTAGCAGTGGTGCCCTCTCTGAAGAGCAAAACATTTTGCAAATGAGCCTTTTTTTAATAATACAGTGGGTTGAAGAACAATTTATTCTATTTTTAATCTCCCAGGATTCTTGGAAAAAATTTGGCCTTATATTGACAGGGTTGTATTTTACCCAGTGAACTCCATGTCTGACTTTCAGGAGAGGGCAAGAAGGACCAGAGCAGTTTGATTTGGCCTTCTGACAGGCTGTAACACTGGGTCTCAGCTTCTGACACTTGCAAGGCTCCAAGTCATATGTATTGCAGTGTATTTAGGTCACCAGCTAACTTCAATATTCTCCTGCTACCCTTCCTTCATCTTTCCATTTTTTTAACTACAGTATTTGCATCAAATAATCCTGTCCAAAACAAGGGCCCTTCTACCAAGTGACAAGTAAGTTTAGCATTATTAGTAGAGCCCATTATTCAGCTGCACTGCTGTCAGTTCATGGAATGATTTGTGCTGGATTCATTACTTGCCCCTAGTCTGAGGGAATATAAGCAATGATTAGCTTATGCATTATTTAAGAAGATATAGATTAATGCTGAATGAAGCAGAGTTAGTTAAGTGGGAATAGGAGGGAAGGGCAGGACCCAGGGCCCTGCCACACCATGAGATAGTTGTGAAAGCAGTGTATGGTACCTCAGAGCAGTGTGCTAGCAGTTTGTTCTGGAGGGTGTGCAACAGAAAGAGAGGAATCATTGCCAAAGKTATCACCCACTGTGAGCAGAGAAAACTTCTCAAGGTTTGTTTTGGCAACATCAGACTCACTTCAGCCAGGGAGGTGCAATTCTCCATCTAAAGGTAGASCACTAYTTGGTTTTAGTCCTGGATATTGTASCAGYCATCACARTGACTCTGCAGTGCCTCAGCACATCTTTGGAAAGAGATAAACCCCGAGGAAAAAGTTTATTAAATTGCTTCAGTTTGCCTCATGATCAGCAGACAATGAGCTAGTGCTGCATACAGCCCTAATGTGGAGAAACAGTGTGATGTGGGGCTGGAGTTGGCTACCCCACTGTGGTGTGACTAGGACCACACAAGCTGATGTGAGGTGTTAGAGGGAAAAAAAGGAAAATTGATCCCTACTTCACATCTCCTTGCCCAGCAGCCCTGCGCTGACGGATCCACCTTTGTTCATGGCATATGGACACTTAACTCTCCTGTGCCCTCCMTCCCTCACACCTGAGCTAAATGAGTCCAAAAGCCACAAGATTAAAACCACAMCATTGGAGTAAACCCACAGGGAGCAAGACATGCAACAGTTAGCTCGAGTGGCAGGCGTTTGTAAGGCTGATGAAAAAAGTCTGCCTAAGGAAAGCAAAAAAAGAGTCTCTGAGCAGCACAGGATATGCTGTGTGACCCCGGATCCAGGGAAGGCAACTTGGGGATCACATTTTCTTCTGCAGCTTACGTTTTCAAGTGTGTCTCAATGGCTTCAGGTCCTGTCCCTTGCTAACTACTGTAGTTTTCATTTCCYGCATGTTTCATTTGGATTTGGATATATTCTCTTTTCTTGTTCCTCCTTTTACTCCCTGGTCGTTTGGGCTAATTGGCTCCTATATCTGTCTGTCCCTCCTTTCCCCRTGTTAGAAAATCAGGGACTGTTTCTTCATGCTTTATCCTCCAGCTAGAAAAGATCTTTCAATGGAATGACAAAAGGTAGAAAAACTGAGGCAGTTAAAGTGCAGAGAAAACAATAGTTTGAAAATCTTCTAGACTTGTTTGCTGGGTTAATAGCTAAGCAGAAAAGTCTGAGTGAAAAGCCTCATTAAAAAGAGAAAAGATTGATGCCAGGAATGAATGGGGATTGTTATAGCAGGGAGCAGAGTATGGGCTCTAGTGCCTAGTGCAGCTTTCCGACTCATCATTTTGGAGGAACATCAATATGTCAGTATGAGCTTTYCTTTAAGACAGAGGCATTTGTGCCCTTTCTTATTACTCCTTTTCTCRCTATAGTTCAGTTTTGACATATTTTCCCAGGCAGGGATGGTTGGTTTTTTGGTTTTTTTTTTTTTCTGCTGCTTCAGAAGAAGTTTGAATGTTTTACCAGTCAAGCTATGAGTACTTTGCTTCCAAAATCATCATATGCTTTTATATGCTTTAATCCCTTTAGCTCTATTTAAGGCTGATCACCAAGAATACTTTAAAGACACAGGGCCTGATTCTGGAAAATTGTGTACACCAGCCCCAAACATCTGGGAATTAACCTAACTAGTGGATTGGGATTTCAGTTACTTAGGTGAAATTTTCATTACTTAATAAGCATGGTAAAGTCTGTGTGGAGAGGCAGAATCTTTTCTTCAGCCAGTTGACATAGCTGAGGATAAAACAGATGTGCTKTTGGGCATGCAGAGCTCTCTTCAGTTCTGGAACAGAACTTACAAATGGCAAGTAGTTACGGATAACTTCTTGGAATTTAACTAAACTCTTGGCAATATCAGACTACATGAAAGCGGAGAGGAGCTCCTTTGATCTGGATATTGTGAGCCCTTTCCAAGGAGCTGTGAGCTCTTTCCAAGGAGATGCTGAGTCCCCGCATCTTTCTGCTGGGGARCATTAAGTGCTTATCAGGAAAAGACCTCGTGCTGCTTTCTGTGGCTCTCTCACAGGTGGAGGTGCATAGTGTAGCTGAGTAAGTTGCAGACCCTGTGGGCTGAGGTCTGCATTTTGCTCCCCAAGCCTCATGCAAAGTGGATTACATTGAAGCAATTAARTGCACTGCAACTTTATTGAGTCAGCTGCACATTTCTTCTGCTTAAATGTTCTAACACAGTTTGAGGATTAGTAACATGTGGTTGACTTTGGACTCCTCTCACATGTTACCAGTCATCCAAATTTGGCCCAATAACATTTTCTTGCTTTTATAGGCAAATCTTGAATTTGATTGCTTGTGTCATAGATTCCACATGGGCAAAATTCACACAGAGCTTTATCCTTCTGCTACATGAATGTAGGCAAGTACTAGCACTATTCAAAGCAGATCTTGATCCTGTGTTGAGTGTTTTTTGTACATAACTGTATTTAGCTCTTGCAGCTTAGGGTTTATCACAGCACTGTCCTCTTCCCATTATGAACCCTGGGAGTTCTGATTTCAGTGGTTCCAGTGAGGCCCAGCCTTACATTCCTGGATTYAAGTGGGTGCAGTTGAAGGGAGGCTGGGAGCTCAGGACAAGCCTGCTGCTCCCTCTTCCACACATCTGCTGGTGCTGATGTGCTCAGCTCTCACTGTCTGTATGAAGAAATGGCWTTTTCAGCACCACAGGGTTGCTGTGCTGGGTATGGGGCCCCTCCATACTGGGTAGAATCCTTTCATATTCAGTCACCTTCCCAGATAGAAAGGGTTACTCTGCACTCCTCCTGTATTTAGCAAGGGATTCCTTGCCTGCAACGCTCTCTTCACATGAAGTGTATTTTAACCTTACCCAACTTCAAACAGAGTAGCATGGAAGCTAATTTGCTTCTTTGTAGCATTGCTGGTGTCTTAGTAAATCCCCAGGATGAAAGGAGTAAAAAAAAAAAAAAACTCCTGAGCTGCTAGAGAAAAAGAACAAACAAACCCAGCACATTTCTGTGGAATTCTTCTGTTTGTCAGATGTGAGCCTCCACTTGCACAAAATAATTAGGAGTTGCATTATGTAGAGCATGCTTAGCATCAAAGTAGTCACAAATGCCTCATATTTTGTTCTAAACAGTCTCAAGGGTAGTGAAAGCTGTCAAAAATCAAAGCAGCCAGCTTCTCTGTGAAACACAGAAGACCTTTTTACCTTATCAAAACCACAAATATTTAAAATAATCGACAGAGAAGTTAATCAATTTTCATCTGATTTAGCAAAGATCATGCAGTCTCAAAATAACATAAGYATCTCAATTGATACCAACAAGATCAATGTTGATATTTTTAATCCCCAAAAGAAAACAACAGCTGTCAAGAAGGCATATGCACTCWCTTCACTGAATGTGTAACTGCACAGAAGAAGGTGTGAATTCTCCTTCTGTAAATGAACTCTCTGTACTATTTGTATGGACAAGCTTTAATAAAATCCAGAGCTCAGTGAGAGAATGCAGATAACYGTTCAATGAGCAAATCAAGCAAATCCAGCCTAATGAAACAGAGCCTAGCTGATTKGTATCATCTGCGGTATTTTTAGTGGGATGTTATACAGAACTYGTTGGACCGCAAAAAAAGTCATGTAATACACAGTTTCATAACCATGAGAGTCCTGCTTGCATAAATGGCTGCAGCCTTTTCATTCACTATCAAGTCTGAACACTCCCCTTCACCCTGTAACCTCTGMATGTACTAAAGGCATGACCATCCGRTTTGTACCTGGGTGCCGGTTGATTAGGCCATGAGTAGTGAAGAGCTTATAAAAAACCTTCTRAATGGCCTGACCTTTAGAAGCCACGTGAATACCATCACCCTGTCAAACACAGGAGTGGGTGTCAGACCTGCCTGCCTTAGGTAAAGCTCCATAAAACCTGCTGTTCCTCTGCTTGCTCAGAGTTGGACACAGTGCTCAGGGCCTGTACAGAAACTGCCATAAMGCATAATGGCAAGCACTGATCTCAAATGCAACACAGAGTTCTTGTATTTAACTCCTGCTTCTCTATCATTCTTTGCACACCAGTGCACTGTCATTATGTTACATGTCTATGCATAATTCCTTATGTAGGTCTAAACATAGAAATAGAAATATATATTCAGGGAAAACTAAACTTCCAGAAGGATCAGGTGTGAATACTGGCAAAGCCCTTCACCTAGATGAGGCCAATGTGTGTTTCACCACTGATTTTTTTGGAGCTCAGATTTTAGCGTATTTTCAATCAAATTGCATTTTCATGGACAAATGAAGAAGCTTTTGAGGATGAGCTTGACAAGGAAGTGTAAATCTGATTTGCATTTCAAGAAAATGCAACAAATCAATAGGCTTTTAAAAGTTAAGTGATCCTCTAATAATTTGTAGTGGGGTCCTGAAGACATTTACTATGACAGGAAGTGGTAGTTTGGTATTTGCTCATACCAAACTGTCATAAGTTATTGCTTCCCTTTAATTTGCTCTCTGGTACCATGTTACTGATTTCCTCAAATTAACTAATTCCCATTATATTAATTGTTAACCTGTAGGTCTTAGTCTCAATATACAAGCATTAGCACCAGAAATAAATCTTCAACTATTTTAGCATCACAGCATCATAACCTGCTTCATACCTATCTTAAATGTCTGAATAGTTTCATGTCATTCAGGGTTGTTCCTTATGAATGTTAAGAATGAGTTATTTATGTATGTAAATCATGTTTACAAGTTGAGRGTCTGTGCATATGATCTTGATTTTTAATAAAAGTCCGATCTAGAATGTACCCTTTGTATGTTTTGATAAAGGTCTCTTCCACTTACTTCTAATTCTCACTTAGACACTTGCATTTTTCCTCATGTTACCTGGTCAGTAAAGCTATGTGGCAAAGGGATGCTCCAGTCAATAACTAATGGACAGAAAAGGCAATCAAACCTTTCTCTTAATGCATTATGAAAACTGTATTCCATTTTTTTGTAATGCACTACAATTTTTCTTTAGATCTCTTGATCTGAGCTATTTYCCATTAATATTATAAGGTTTGAAATTGTTCTTTGATCTGTTTGTACAGATGCAGAATTGCGTCATGGTGGTCCAACTTCTAAATTAGTTGTACACAGGAATCATAAAATTCTTGATAAGATGTGACATTCTAATCATACTTTAGATGTGAGACAACAGGCAGGAATTTTCAGCATTTTTCCATCTTGCATGTTTTTAAGTTGTGTATCCTATTCCTAACWAGGGTCACTACCTCTTTATTCCTGTACTCGGTTGAAACAAGTAATGCTTTGTTTGATGGACAAGGGGTACTTTTTATAACAGATGCCTGTATTATACACTAAGATGTTTTATCTGTCCTATATGAAAATTAAACACACTAACACTATTTTTGATAAACTAATGCAGTGGATGCCGTGTATCTGGATGACGAGAAAGAAAGGGAAGAATATGTCCTGAATGATGTTGGTGTTGTATTCCATGGAAATGTCGAAGATATAAAATCAAGAAGCTGGAGTTATGGTCAGGTGAGTTGTTTAGGTTTTCTCTGTCTGCTCCCAGTAGGACAGCAAATGAGTTTAWTTGACACCAGACTGTGGCTGAGACTGTGGGCTCTGGAGTGCATTATYGGTTTCTCCTTCAGAAACATAGGGGGTATCGTTTTAAAATTGTATGAAGTGGATATATGCCTAATCCAGAAAAGCAATGCTATAATAGCTGATATTTAAAGACCTTGTTTCAGGGRCATGTTTCAGATACTAAGAGGCTGCCTGTTGAAAGTTATAATCATTAGCTGAGGTTTCCACAGGGCAGAGGTATTTCTGCTGCTGCATTATTGCCGCTTCAGGATCAAATCAATTTGTGAAAAGTAGAGTTGTTTGTTTGGCTTTTTTTCATTTTTCAACAGAAAGTTGTATTTCTTTTTGAGTTTTCTTTTTGGTTTTAGCAACTTGGTGAAAAGAATTCTGATCTTCTTGTGGATCAGATAGTCACAAGTTTCCTATAACAAAATAGGATTTAATCACAAAATTTTAAATTCCGGGGGTATCTCCCTTTGCTGCCTGGACTTGATAACATCCGTCTCCAGTGGCTTCTTGCAGCCTGGGGGAGACACCCTCCACTAGGCTCGAGTGGGGTATTGGTGTGTCTTTAATAACATAGAATCATAGAATAATTTGGGTTGGAAGGGGTTTTTAAAAATCATCTTGTTCCATCACTCCACCAKGGACATGGACACCTTCTGCTAGACCAGAGTCCTGTTCAGCCTAGCCTGGAACACTTGCAGGGATGGGTCATCTACAGCTTCTCTGGACAATGTGTTCCAGTTATTTACCACCCTCATTGTAAAAAACTACTTTTTTATATGTAATCTAAACCAGCTCTCTTTTAGTTTAAAACCACCACCCCTCATCTCAAACTTACTACTTGCCTGTTTTACTTCAACCTTCTCATAAGAATTAACCAGCCTAAAAATCCCTAGGGGGTGGAAGAGTTAATTTATTGTGTTAGAATGGGAAAAAGAATGAAAGTGATAGCAAAGCTATAACCCTAGCTGTCACTCAGAGGGGCTCCACTGGACAGATAATGGAGATAGTGAACTCATCTCATCTCATCTCCTGGATTTCCACAAGAGCACAATTAACAAGGTATTGAAGTGTTTCCTTACTACTCTKGTGATGGATCCATTCAGTTTTTGTGGCAGCTCCCTTGCACAGCCTTGCAGAAGGGGCCTTACATCTTGYTTTCTCTCTCCCTCAGCTAAATACAGCCTCAAAGGTTGAGCTGGATGGATTGCCATTGTGCTTGCCCTGGAGAGCTCTTTGAACTCACATCTCTCTAGTTTCCTTATTTAAGGATACTATTTCATCTTTTTTTCCTGCAGCAGCRCTGCCTTAGGGAGTTCCTGCCTCTGCACCATTCCTTAGGTTGTGTCAGTGTCGTTGTTTGCAGGGTCGTGTTTCCTGACTGAGATAAAAACAACCCTTAAATAAGACACAGGGAAGAAATTCCATAAACTGATGACGCTCTGATATAAGACATGTGGAACCAGATCCTGAGGCCAAAGCTGGCCATGAATTTAAGCTGACCAAAAATGCCCCCTCCTGGCCCTTCTTTCCCCCTGCAAGCTCTTGTGCAGCTGTGCAGTGACTCAGACTGGTGAGCTGATCTAGCTGAATAAGTATGCCCTTGATTTTTTTTTTTCCCCTGGGTTATTTCTTGGGCTTGCGCTGTTCCTAGATTTGGGGTTCACACCATGACAGATGTAAGGGGGAGGGAGAGAGGGGAGTACATGGAGGTGGAAGGTGCTTCTTAAACCAGATGCTGGATTTCTGTCCTAAGATGCTAAATTTATGGCCTATGGTGGCTTGGCCTGAGGTGTTTATACTCTGCAAATCTGTCATCTTCCTGACATAAACACCAGCCTCCCTTGAGAAATTGCATTATTTATTTGGTTTTGCTAGGAGGTATTTCTGTCTGGGAGGTTAGGGTCATTCTACAGTCCTTAGYCATGTACTTTCATTCCTTTGTTGGCTGAAGTCAGAGGACCTGATTTCCACCCCATACTGTAGTGCACCYTTTGCTGTTGGTTGCCCATGTGAAAGCTGAGTGTGGCAGATGCATCTCAGCAGGSTCAGGCTAAGACCTTTAATGGAATTGATTATTTTGTATGGGTTTTACAGACATGTCAATCTGCAAAGCAACAGAGAAATATTCTTCTGGTTCCCTTACTTTCAGGGAAATGGAGGACATCATGTTCCTGATCTTACCCTGTCCATTTCCAACCATTAAAAACACATTTTCAGCAATCCTAGATGTTAAGAATAAGGGCATTCCTGTGAGTGGGTAAAAGTACTTGCAGCAAGGCCTATATTATCATCCAAGTATGCTTTTTATATMTGTGATACTTATCCCTTAATAAGATGTAAATAAAAAGCACAAGGCCACATACAGTCATAGAGGGGAAACGTATATACAAAGGATCATATACAAAAATGCAGGTGGACTTGTGCATGGTACTGTTCTTAGGCTAAAAAATTGCTTAGGACAATGACAACTGGAAACTTTAACTCAGGCTGCAAATTAAACAGGAACATACAGTTTAAAACTGGGTWACTAGTGGTGATTGTCCTCACTGCTGCTGTGACAAGAAGCATCAACATGAGAGTAGGGGAGACAAGAAACATGGACCGAGGAAGATAAAACAACAGAACACTTGAGACMTGGCTGCAGTGGATGAGGATGGAGGTGTTCATTGTAACATGACTGTGATGTCTCCTAAGAAATTGTAAAAGGCAGTCACTCACAAAATGCTAAAAAAAATGGAGGATTCAGGGGAAATTTTGCTTTGGAAGAGATCTAGGCACATAGGAATCCTCTAGCTGAAAAATATCAGAAGTTGGATGCTACACTGATCATATAATGTTGAGTTTTGGTTTTGTGAGAAAAATAAAATAAAACAGATGGTCATAGAGTTCTCTTGCCATCTTGACCTCTCTCATGTCCMCACACTGATCTGCTTTAGCTTGGAAACCCATTGTGCCCATGTAGTTCCACAGCACATGCATTTAGTCAGGTCGGGCCTCAGGTGACAAGAGATCACATTTGCCTGCAACTGACTGTGAGAAACACAGCCTTAAGTCAGCCAGTGCAAAAGGTGATACAGCCCCTCTTATTTGATTAAATGGGAGGTCATCTATTAGAAACAGGTTAACATGAGGGAGGGTGCCCAGGACAGCTACATGTATTGCTCYGTAACACAAGGCACATCTGTGTGCACTTCACATGTGCGTTTTCTCATGCCTTGTTTTTTACCTGCAGTCTTTCCTGTGTGGTTTTGCCAAAGTTCCTGGCTCCTGAAGTAGATTTTTTTTCATTTCAGCTTGTATGGAGCAGGCAGTGCCTGTGCCTGGGTCAGGTTGACTCACCTGTCCAGTCTTCCTACTGCTGCTCTGGTTCTTCTGATATTTCAGAGATATTCAGTCTTAAAACTGCAATGTTTCTGTTCCACTTTCCTCATGACAAAAGTGAGGRCAGGAAACTGATTTAGTTTGATTTAATATTTTTTAAGTCCCTGAATAATCAAGAGTGGCAGAACTGTGTTTAGTGTTAAGGCTACTCTGCATGGTATGCTACTGCAGCAGTGTAAGCCAGCTAGTCCTTGCAGCTTGTCCTCTCACTTTCCTGTTATTTCCTTGTGTTATTTCACAAGCATTCATGTCTTTTTGTAAATGTTAGGGTGGAAGGCAACAACCCTGATAGCAATTTATTTCCTCTTTATTCTTTCTGTATATGCTGGCAAGATTGACAGTGTCTCACAAACTGTAGATGAGAAAGTTTCATTTGCAGGATAAACATTTTGTTGATTTAACCCAGGTCTGATGACTTGAAGAGCAGAAAGCAGATTTTGATCCTGGTAAAAKGTTGTTGTACCAGACCAGAAGAAAMGAAAATTTGAACCAGGAAGGCTGGCTGTGAGGGCTCAGAGTTTACATTTTCTGTTGTGAAGATTCTCATTGGGAAGSAGGTTCTTCACAGTACACTCATTTATCTGACATTATTTGCATCACAGCCCAGTGGAGTGGACTGGGATGTGCAATTATTCAGCTTCCCAGGAGTGATAAAATATAGTAGTAGGTCTCTGAGAAACACTGAGAAGCACTGATCCCTGTTTCTCCATTTCCAAAAACCATKAATTCAGTTTTGCTCAGATAGAAGGTGATCTTTAGCAAATGCCTGCTCCAGAGAAAGTAATTCAGTGCAAGAGTGGGGGGTAATGAGAGAGGTGTGCTGCCTTGGAGGGCATTTGCTGAAAAGGATCCTTTTGGCAGTGGTACCCTCAAGGCAGAAGCAAAGGACTTCCAGGAAATGGCTGAAGGTGGTGAAATGAGATAGTGCTTCCCTTTTCTTGGCTTATGCCAGAGCTCAGCTGCTGCCTAGGATGTCATTTCTATCCCTTCCATCTTTCCTGCAGTATCAGCAGCAGCCTTTACTCTTTGGGGMTTCCTGTTCAGCTCTTTGACCTCTCTCTTCATTGTCCTCTGCCAAAGGAGCAACTTGGTCTGGGATCTTGTTCACTTTCTTCAGGARGCAAAATTCTGGACAGCCTTATCTGCCAAGGAGCCCTAAGCCAGGCTGGAGAGAATTAGGAAACAATTCAGCTCTAGTAGCAGCATGAGAGCAAAAATCCTATTAGCATGGMTAATATCTTTCAGGATGCAAGCATAGAACATAAAACCTAACACCATGGAGTTTCCATCACAGCCTTGATGGTTAACCTAAGTTTGTGTATCTAGAAGGTATTTGTTTTATTATTGTGCATTTCCCTGTCTCCTACCATTTTCCAGGGGACAGAGATATTTCCCTTTGCTATGCAGTTTTTCCTAAGRAAAATGAAACACATTGCAGGGCAAGTTCTGTGACAAATGGTTTCTGGTCTATTAAGGCACCTCTGCCCTCAATTCATTCTTGTGCTTGTTCATGCTAGATTGAAAAAAAATGTGCCTTTTCACTCTATTTTTGAAGAAGACTACTTTAGGTCACTTGGTATTTTTGATTTCTAAGTTTTGCAGACCAGGATTTATCTCTATAATCAGTTTTTGGCTTATCAATTTTAAACAGATTTTAAAAATAACTTTGAAATACAAGTGTCTTCATATTACCAGTGGCAAACCACTTATTGTTCAACTTCCCAGCAATGCACTGGCTGTGTCAATGAAGTCCTGAAATTAGCAGGTCTGGGATCTGTGAAGGACATAAAGTCCTTTGCGAGTAGACAAGCTTCTTGTAGTTATTATTATAATACTCTCCTATTATATACTTGTTAGCACTTAAAATTTTATGTCCTGTCAGAAAGTCTGTGTTGTCATTTCAACCTTCTGGAAACTGGACTGAGATTGAATCGAAAATTACACTCTCTTCCCTCACAGCCTCTCACTTTTTTTTCCCTCCCCACACATGGGTGATTATTCCTGAAGAAAACTTGCATTGTTAAACACAGAGCTTTGATATGACCAGCTAATTTTGAACCTGATCATCCATTATACCAACAGGGAAAATTAGCTTTGCCTGTGTTTTCTGGAGTAATAAGAGACTCAATTTTTCCTCTGTTTACCTTTTTATTTTCTTTTATCTAGTTTGAAGAAAACGTTCTGGATGCTTGCCTGTTCCTGATGGACAAGGCAGAGTTGGAACTCTCTGGTCGCGGAAACCCAATCAAAATCTGCCGTGTTGCCTCAGCAGTGGTATGTAATGAATGCCTAATATGTGTCAGAAGTGACTCTTAAATCAGAGCCAGGCTGGTTTAACTGGCCCTCRTGCCCTGATGTGCTCTCTACAACACACAACACATCAGTTGTCCATTCTGGGGTCTGATATTTTATTTGTCCCCACTGAAGTTCAAGCAAGTTCTGTTGGCTCATTGCCTTGTCCCAAGAATGGTGCCTCACTGGTGGGAAAGMCACTTTTAGATATTGCACTCCAGGCATAAGCATTTCTTATGTGACAATGTGCTCATTTTCCAGTAGCTGATATAATTGAGAAAGCTATTTCTGCTATGGAAGATACAGTGGCATGATGAGTGGAATTTTGGATGGGGAACTGAGGGACTTTATGTGGACTCCAGCACTAACCTCAGTGGGGTCTTAGAGCACTGCAATGGTGCAGTTGTTGTATTTGATTCAGGCCCCAAATGACCTAATCAGGGTGAGAACAGTTACATAAATGAGCTGCTTTGGCCCCAGAAGAAAACACTGTAGGAACTGTCCTCTTAAACAAGAGGTCCATAAAACATACCCTAAAATAACCAAAGAGAAGACTTTCCAGACCTCCATTTTTTCCAGTTGCTAGGCACCAGGAATCATGCCATGGGTGCAAGAGCAGTCCCATCACTAATATTCAAGATGCTAGACTCATCCAGGATGTGGAAGACAGAGGCTGAGTCCTCTCTTTTGCCTTATTAGAGGTCTGGAAGCTTTCTGCTTCCCAGAATAATTCTCTAGTCATTGAGCTAGAGTAATTAGATGTTCTCCCGAGCCAGCTACTAAAATAGACTGTCCACAAAACATGGCTGCTGGAGATGGATGATCCTTTAACCCATTTGTTATAGCATTTCCCAGACTTTAAGAAAATGAGCTCTTTGTCTTAGATGGCATTCAAGTGGAATCTCCAGCCTCTCAATCTTGCATGGCATGATGTTAAATAGAATAGCTCCAGCAAGAAATATTGAGAACACCTCTACTCCTCTTTGTCTTTTAGCATTTAATTAGTTCTTTCACCCCAGATATCAGAAATACGGCTTTGGACCTTTGGATAGGAGAAACAATCAAGTGTGGTTTCCTCATCCCTGAGCTAGTAGGTGTGAAAGGTCCCTCGTGTAAGGACTGTGGAAACCTTCAGGACAGAATAGCACAAACTTAATGAATCCAAATAGGGCTTGGATATTACTTAGGTTTTGAGCCAATCAAAAATTTTAGAGATGTGGAGGCATTCACAATTGGAAATTGAGGACTCAATAGACTTTAGGTTTAATCTGCAGAATTAGGCCATAGGAGTAGGTGGGTAGGAGTAGGGGTAGAGTAGAGGGTTTGGTCATCTGAAATCTGGACCTGAGTAAGAAATAGACAAGAGGTGCTGAACTCTCACCTCTGTTCCTTAACCTCATTCWTGCTCAAGTTGGAATGTGGTAGAGCTGAGCTAGTCTGAGGACATACCTCTCCATGCTGGTATCCTTCTGAGGCTTCATGCTGTGGCAGAGCAGTGAAGTCCCTCTCTTCTTCTTCTCATTACAGTCAGAGTAGAGCCTGAAGATCAAYATGCTGTCCTGTCCTTGAAGTGATTCTTTTCTTGGCATGTTTCCTGCACCAGTAAGATGGGCACAACCTCTTAACCCTTTGGTTATGACTCTGAATACTTATCTCTGTTCAGTCCTAGAGTTCACAGGAAGTCGATTTTCTAATTATAAAATAGTAGTTAATGCAGCCAAAAGCTTTTAAATGAGAATTGTGATTTATTTGGCTAGTGTGTAGCTGTTCAACATTAGCATAATTAAAAGGTATGGAGCGAATGAGCTTTTTGCATAGCCTCAACTGCTTTGGTTCAAATTGCAGCCAGGAGATGTATTGCTCGTTAATGCCTATCAGTATAGCCATTAGTCAGCAAAACTCTTTGCTTTGTATAATCTTACCAGTGGAAAACTTACACAGCAAATTCCTTCTTGTTTTCGTGTGTGCCAGACCAAAGAAATTAGTTTCTACTCTAAAAATAACTGTAGACTTGTTCTCCTCTCAAGCTACTGTAAATCAAGAGTGATTTTATTAAAATCTCTGAGCTGTTCTGGACAGAAAAACATGATGGAAAGAATACAGCTTAATATATCTGAGACTTACTTATCAGTATATAATTGATTGTGTTTATTAAAAATACATAGCAATAAGCATGTTTAATGTTAATAAAAGTTACTAAACTGGCAACATGGATACTCAGTGTGGTGATTAGATTTCAGCTTTATTTTTAAGTGTCTGACCTTCATTCAAAATTGTTCAGTGATGGAGAATCCATGGCCCTTGACAAGATTGTCCTGTTTATCCCCTACCTTAATAATGAAACATTTCTACCTTACTTTCTAGCCTAAACATGGCTTTATTCACTCCCTCCCATCCTACTGGTCTACTGAGTTAAGGARCTTTTTATTATTCAGTCTCTGACATCCCTGCTGCTCATTTCCTTTGATTTTAGATTAACTCCAGGGATGACAATGGAGTGCTTGTTGGATCCTGGGACAATACATATGATTATGGTGTTGCACCTTCAGCCTGGACAGGAAGTGTGGACATTCTCTTGGAGTATTACAGTTCTAAGCAACCTGTCCGATATGGCCAGTGCTGGGTCTTCGCTGGTGTCTTCAACACATGTAGGTATCAGTGGGGAAAGCTCCATGCTGCTATGTAGTTCCTTCTTAACAGAGCTTATAGGTAAAACTAACTAAAATACTTCCTAGTTGTGTGCTGTTCAGGAGTAAATAGTAAAGATACTTAAAAATACGTGGCTAAAATAATTGGTCTTCAAATAAAACTCTGGTGTGTCCTTCAGGTCAGCTGCTTGTCCACATAAGTCTCTTAACTATTTCTTGATTCAGTGAAATGTATGCAGTGATTCAAGAGGGCAAATCTGAGAGAGAGAGAAATTTGAGTGCTTTGGCACAGTCCACATTTCTGTCTGGAAATCTTAGATGAACAGGGTGCTTGTYGTTTAGACCTYAAATATTAAATTACTACCCAATATRGGATAWGTGATGGTRTTTCTGCTCCAGAAAGGCCAARTATCACCTACTRAARAACACATTTGGTCAAATACRAGTTCYGGTGTTGCAGGTCATAAAAAMCAGTGGGGAAAGGAGTGTTGGATTGGTCCCATAGTTTGACTGTCTAGCACTTTCTAACAACACCCTCTGCTAATACACAGAACACAGTTTGTGGCATCTTCTGGGCTTGTTCCAACAGGTCCATATCGTTCTTATGTTGGGGGCCCCAGAGCTGGATACAGCCTTGCAGGTGGGGTCTCAGCAGATCAGAGCAGAGGGGCAGAATCCCTTCCCTCACCCTGCTGGCCACCCTGCTTTGGATGCAGCCCAGGATACAATTGCCTTTCTGGGCTGCAAGCACACATTGACTGGTTGTGTTGAGCCTCTTGTCAATCAGCGCCCCCAAATCCTTCTCCCCAGGGCTGCTCTCARTCATGTCTCCCCCAGCCTGTATTTGTGMTTTGCCCTGACCCAGGTGCAGGATCTTGCACTTTGGCCTTATTGAACTCTGTGAGGTTTGCACWGTCCCAGTTCTCCAGCCTGTCCAGGTTCCTGTGGATGCCATCCCTTCCCTCCAGCGGGTCGGCTGCCCCACACAGCCTSGTRTTGTCAGCAAACCTGCTGAGGGTGCGCWCAGTCCTACTGTCCATGTCACTGACAAGGATGTTAAACAGTTTCAACACCTGAGGAATGCCACTCATCACTGGCAACAGCTCCATCCTTCAAAACATGAAATGCTTCATTTTATTCCTGGTGCAGTGGGATAATGAGCAATCATCCACATCCAAAGAACCAGGGGCTACTTCCTTCMCTGCCTGAGACCTCATGATTGTACTTGATGCTCCTCAGCCTCTGCACAACACGATGGGTTTGAAAATGTTCATGCAAAGGTTTCCTATGGATGCCATTCTTCACAGTGGATTSCATGGCCCACTTTGTCATCTCTGCCCATTGCCTTGTCTGGATTTCTGTATATCACAGACACACACACCAGTTCTCCCACCTTCCCCCCACACTTGCCCTGAGTCACCACTATGCAATATTTTGCCTGCAGGCCACTCTAAAATTGGGACGATGCAGCAGAGGCCCAGAGCCTGCTGTGTTAGAGGGAGAGGCGTATTTATCTGGGGCAAAACTTGGCTTGGTTCACTAAGTTAGAGTCAAGTAAGAGACCTGGCACTTTGCACTGCTGCAAAGATTGCTGCACTATAAAGTTTGTTGAGCATTATGAAATGGAAATATTGTCCAGTAGCTGATCTGATGATAGCCACTGACACATCCAGCTGCTGACCACTGCACAGGGGACAGCGAAGGTCCAAACAATCATGTGCAACTAATCATGTTTTGAGGTGGTTTTGAGTCTCTSTCAGCTGCCAGTGTTTTATCATTGTGACCAGTCCAGCTTTCCAAGGTTACTATATTGTACTCTCCAGATACTCATCTGTTAAAAATGCTAAAACATTCCAAAAAATGGTCATTAATCTTGAAATTGTCAGACAAATTATTTCCAATGAGCCCTGATGGCTCMTGTGCTGGAAGCCTGGGAGGGCACTTGAATTAAGTTTAATCAATAGGTACATATGGTATTGGATGCATCCAGGTAATTTGTCATCCAGGAACTTGAAATGAATGTGCAGTGTTTCACTTTATTGGGAGTCACRGTAGTGACAGTAATGAATATACAAAACCCAGCAGTAGCAGCAGGGCTGTTCAACTCTGCAGCACTGGAACTATTTTTAAATAGGATCTTCAATAAAAATCTTTCCCCTTAAAAAAAACACTCAAAAAACACACAAAAAATCCACCCCAGACCGAAAACCACCACCACTACCACCAAAAAACCCACAAAACCCCCAAAAGAAAAAACCAAAACAGACAAAACCAAACAAAAATGAAACAAAACAAATGCAAACAAACCCCCACCCAAAAAAAAACCCAACAAAAAGAAAGAAAACCCACCAAACAAATAAACAAAAAAATCACCAACCACCAAAAAACCCTCACCCTCTGTTTTCTGCAGAACCATACTGGCTCCTAAATTGAAAGCCAGGAACTTTTTTTGGCTGAGACAAAATATGTTATCTGGTGTTGCTGAGATGGTGTGTCACCCCACAGACCTGCTCCCCTAACCTGGAGATGTCCATGCCGAGTTATGTGCCAGGGTACACAAMAAACACARAAGCCTATTGATTCRCTGTTGCAGACTACAGACATAGTTKTAGCATTTCCACAGTTTTTCCAYAGTTCTTAAATTTGCCACTTGTCAAATGCTAAGAAGAATCATCAGTGCTTTATTGTGATGGTGTRAGAGTTAGGGCTCGGGGCTTTTTTTTTGATCCTCCTTTTGAGGTCCTTTACTGGAAGGGAATATTGACTCCAAAATGCTATTACTTAGCAGGTAATATGAATTATGTAATGCATTTTATTCAGATTCTCAAACCTTGCCATTTCAGTTGCAAATAATACAGCTTTTTCCCATTTCTAGCAATAATTTTCTGCTTTATTCTTTGTGTTCTCCAGATCCCCTGTGGCAGCAGATGTCAAACAGGAAAACTCCAAATCAATCAAAAGGATATACTTTCTATTAATTTTCTTTTCAGTATAGTCTCATAATTCTACTGAGTTGCTGATTCTAAGAGGCCTAATATATTTTGTATTTCTTTCAAGCTCAAACTTCTTGTTCTTTGTATCACATTTGGTTATCAGCTGGCCCATTGCACCCAGATTTGACCTAGAAAGCTGCARTGGTTGCTGTGCGAGACTGCTCTAAAACTACTGATATTCAGATGCTTTGGTTATAATCATTGTACAATTACATGTCTTGAATTCTCATCATTTTGCGACCAAATAAAATATTTCKCATGTGCAATATAAAAACAGATAGATGGAATTATTTAGGTTRATTTGACTGAGTTTTCCTATTTTATTCCAATTATTAAGATTTCTGTCTTCTCATCCTGTTWTCCATGAATGTAGTCTTCATATTTGTCCTCATCACACTTCTGTCTTTGCCACAGTTCTGAGATGCTTGGGGATACCTGCAAGACTCATTACCAACTATTCTTCTGCCCATGATAACAATGCCAATTTACGGATGGACTTCTTTCTGGATGATGAAGGAAAGGTGGACACCAGACTTACGAAAGATTCTGTCTGGTGAGTCCTCTTGGAAAATGTCTTTAGTGTATCAGTGATAAAAGTAGTAAAAAACACGATGGCATTGCCATGTTGTATTTATTTCTCTGTGCATTGAAGAGCTCTGCTGGCTTGTGTGAAGCAGAATGAACGGATTGTTGGTAGGCTGATTAACATGGAGCCCTTGTGTAAACTGGCCAATCCTGGGGGATCCTGCTATTAATGTGATTATACAGTGCTCRTTTAAGCACACTGGAGAGCTGGAATGGGCTTGTGCTCCTTAGGGACAAGCTGTTCCTAAAAATGGAAGGGAGTAGGATGGGCACTTCCATCCTTCTGGAGCCAGGTTCCAAGGGGTACCTCAATATCTATGCTTGATCTGCTTGTGCCCAGTTTCCACATTTGTAGGCTGGTTTTATGTTGTGTGCATACAGTCACCATTGCAAAGAGGTTCCTTTCAAAAAAATCCTGGTTCAACAGAAAAAGAAACAAGTCTAGGTATCATACAAGATACTGAAATGCTATCACCAGATTTATAAAAAGAAAACTCCCTAGGGCCAAGAGAAGGAGTTTACACATTCTTTTTGAGAARGCAGTCCTCTAACTGGCTCTTCAAACTCTTACTGTCTTCTGTCTGACAGGAGAAGTGTGGCATATATTGATTATATGCTCTGTGTGGAATATTGGCCCTCAAGCCTCTCCTCCTCAGAGGGAAGCAGTGAATGTGACCTCTACATTCCCATATTCAGGAGATACTTGTCCTGTTCAATGTTAATATACCTGACTTGTGTCAATGATATCTTCAACTCATTAGCATAGCAGCTCATCAGCATGTTTCATTAATAACTTAATCTCTGGAAGTCTTTCTATTAAAACTGGAATAAACCCACTATGTGGTGGAGGAAATGATTGAACCTGTTGCTGTGACATCTTTTATGTGATTTCCATAATCAAGAGGAAMTCTAAGGAAAACAGGTTCATTTACATTTGAAGCTTCTATCACAGCATCACAGAGATTAGAGGGGACCATTGGAAGTCACAGAACCCTCCTGTTCAATGCATAATCAGCTACAGCAGGTTGCTCAGGTCTGTGTCCARTTGGGCTTTGAGTATSTCTGAGGATGGACACCCCACAATTTCTCTGGGAAACTTGTTCCATTGCTAAACCATTTTCACAGTAAAAAAAAGTGTTTCCTGATTTTTAGACTGATTTTTCTGTGTTTCAATATGTTCCCATTGCTTCTTGTCCTGTCCTTGGGCTACTGGGAAGAGTCTGGCTCTGTCTTCTTTCTCTTGACTCCCTAATCAGAYGTTTACAAGGATAAGATCCCACTGAGCCTTCCCATCTTCATATTGAACTGCCCCGGCTGCCTTAGTTTCTCCTTGTGTACAGTCTGTGTTATATCAGCCATTCCTTCCCTATTTCTRTATCAGMAAACTTGCGGAGGGTACAGCAGGTCTTGTAATCCAAGCTGTTAAACAGTGTCAGACCCAGTATCGACCCGTGGGGTACACAACTAATGACTAAGCTTCAGATGGGGTGATCATTACTGATCACAACCCTCTGATCCCAGAAATGCAGCCAGKTCTCAATATCCTTTGCTGTCCACTTGTCTGGTCTCTACTTCARTGGTTTGTCTGTGAGGATGTTCTGGGAGATGGCACTACAGAACCCCCATGCACTGGTTCCCCTGTGTCCTTTCAGTCACTMATTTCATCAGAAGGCTCTCAGCTTTGTCAGGCACAGCTGGCTGCTTGTAAATCCATGCTGACTACCGCCAATCATCTGGTCCTTAATACATTTGGAAATGTTTTCCTGAAGAACTTTCTCTATGACCTTCCTAGAGATCAAAGTGAAGCTGGCAAGTCTGTCTCTCCCTCGATACTCCTTCTCTCTCTTGAAGAATAGAGCGATATTTGATTTCTTCCAGTCCACAGGAACTTCCCCCGATTACCATGAACTTTTTAAGATAGGTATGAGTGGTCTTACAGTGACATTGGCAAGYTCCCTCAGCATTTTTTTGTGAGATTACCTCAGATTTTCCATCAGATCCATTGGACCTGTGTGTGTTCAGTTTGTTAAACTGTTCTCTATCTTGTTACTTGTCTCATTTTCATTATTCCAAACCTCCACACTGATCCTCATGGGCTGTGATTCCTGAGGGCAAATCTTAGCAGTAAAAACCAAGGTAAAGAAGACATTGAATACCTTCTCCTAATCCTTTGTCACCTGTTCTATTCAACAGTAGAAACCACATTCTGAAGTCTTCCTTCTGACACTGATGTGCTTGCATTTCTTGCTGCTCTTCCCTGGACATACTTTGTTCTATTCTGGCTTTCCTGTACCTAAAAATGTTTAATTGGTACCACCTTGTGGACTTGTGCCAGCTGTGTACAAGGATGGACCATTCTTAAGCTTAGAGGAGGTGACTCCTGAAAAACAGCCAGATCTTCCACATCCATCCTCTACCCAGAACTGCTTCCCATGGGATTCTTCCAAGCAGAACCTTAAAAATGTCAAAGCCTACTATCCTGAAATCCAGAGCTGTGGTCCTGCTATTTGCTTTATTCCCTCCTGTTAGTATCCTTAGGCAGTTTTGCGTGTAGTCTGTGGACAGAAATACCTCCGCATGCCTTATGGGGCTGGTCCTGTAGCTCAGAGAGCTGTAAAACAGAAGTCATCTGAAACCTCCTCTGCATGTAAAAGGTGTGAAACAAGACCCAGTGACTGGATGACTTAATACTTTGTCCATACACACCCTGAAGCGGAGTAATGGATCATTGCTATGCTTCTGAATTTTCACTGTCTTATCTCTCCTTTTCCTAACCTGATCTATGAAATACCTCTTACTAGCTTTTGACACTTCCTTTTACTTTCCTACCTCTCTTTTTTCTCAGCAGTTTCCCAAGATTTCTTAATATAATCTATTTTTCTCCCACATTCTTTTGGGACAGGGACAGATCATTCCAAAATCATCCTAGCCTCACTGAAATCCATATGCAATTTTATACTAGCATTTCATCCTTCCATCCTACATTTGCTTTTCTTTGGCTTGATAACTTTTTAAACTGCCTTGTTCATCCTTTTATCCTCCTGCTGCATTTATTAGTACATGGTGCACATAACCCTTTGGGCATGACTTAATATATAYACCTCTTTTCATTTCTCCTCTGTGTCCTTTCTTTTCATTACTCTGTAACACTCCATGGTAGCCCACATGCTGACTTCTAATGACTTGTGTCTTAACCTTGATTTTATTTTTAATGTCTCTTATTTCTTTTTTCAAGAGGACAAGCTCAAGGTATTTATAATGATTTTTTAAAATGCATTTCTCACTTATATTTATAATCTCTTGGAAACTGGAAGCAAAGCTCTTTTTCTTTATTAATATATCATTTCTGTTGTACTCTAGCCTTGTACTGCTGGAGCTGATCTGTCTTCAGGTCTTAAATACTCTCAGACATCAGGGATACTTGCAGCCAGGATTTTTAGTACAATCAATCTCTGACTGTGGGGCTCCCTCTGATTGTTATCTGACGTTTATTTATTTTTATTAAAGATTGTCTTCTCCCTCAGGATAGGAAACAACAGCACCACCAACAAAACACATATACAAAATTACACAGACTTTGCAAAAAGTTATTTTTATAAATCTGGCCGGATTTGGGGCCATCAGTACTGTCTGTTCTCCYTGTCTTTCTTAATGATGATATAAAGACACTTAAAGACTATTTCTCTTGGATGGGAATCAAGACTCACTCCTACGGTGAGGTCCAAACAGATCAACATCTGTGCTTCAGCAGAAACTTGCTTGATGTCACCCAGCCCAATGGGGGTTCATCCATGTCCAGGCCTGTGGAGAAGGCCTTTCTGAGACTTCTGCTCTCCCATTTACTTCAAGATCATTTTGCTCTAGTTTCTCAGCAATATTATCAGCACCTTTCTTGACCTCAATACCTGAACTTGTTATTCATAAAGGGCAGCAGCTGCTTCCAGCATGTGCCTGTCCCATAAGCAATATGAACTATCCTTCTTGAATTGTCTTCCAGGCATAAAACCCACCTGGTCATCTTTTATTAATTTCCCCATTGCTTTGTTTAGTCTATCTGTAATTATCTCTGTAAATATTTAATGGTCGCTATATTGATCTCTATTGCCATTCTCACTTTCTTTAATGTCTCAGGCTTGCTGTAGAATACAAGAATTACAGAATCAGTTCAAAAAATTATGGTCACAGAATCAGCTCCTCAGCTGTGCTCACTTCTATAGAAAAGTTCGTGCTACATTTGGAAAGACAAATGYTTCCCTCATCCTCCTTTCCTTAATGCTCACTGCTTTACAAGTAGTGTCTTTCTGTCCATTTGGATTCTATATCTTTATATGTATTTGCTATTTGTGTGGCAGCAGACCTAAAGAAATTGCCATCCTGTTGTGTCCAGCACTACACCGATAGAAAGCAGAAAGAAAGGTCCGGTCCCTAAGATGAATACTGAAAAAAAATATTAAAAAGCCTGCATTACTTAATTACAACACTGAAGTACATCTGCCATTTTCCACGCTGTTCCCCCATGCCCAGCCTTGTTTTCATCATCCTTTCCTTATGCCTGCTCCTCAGGTTATTCTTTCGCAGAACAGGAAAGCCAGTGACACATCTGACTTTGATCCAAAGTGAACCAGTGAAGGCTTCAGGGCAGGGATTGTCTTTCTCATGTGTTGACACAACAGTTTTCAAATACCCACCTTTCATGAAGTGTGTCCCCATTCTCGGGTAGCCCTCAGCAAAGATCTGTGAGCGTGATTCAGCACTGACTACTTTCACAGCATCAAAAATTCTCTGAGTGTGCGTCATTTTCCTTGAATAATTCCTTTTTCTCTRGTGCTGCTTCATTAACTCCCCTAACTGACAAGTTTTACCCTGATCCAAGCTTTCATTTCCACTTTGAAATGTCTTGTTAGACAAGCTTCAGATCCTTCTGACTCTGCTCCATAGCTGGTTTTCACCTATTATTAATGAAATGGTCAGAGTTTAACAATCCCCATTTTGGTAGCTAATATCATTGCGTGTACTAGAGGCTATATCAGCAGCTACACAGATGTAATTTTATTCAGATCTGCTGTAGGATATGTATAATTTGCAAGCAAAATTGCCCCTTTCTCTACTCTTTCCTTCTTACACTTTTTTTCAGTAATGAAATTCAAACACTTTGCAGGCTTTACTGCTAGACTCTCTTTCCAGATTATCTTATTTCCTTGCTTGTGCTGTCCCTTGAACACTGGTAGAATTGCAGSAAGCTACAACACCTGCCTGTCTTTTCTGCTCGTCTTTGAAACACCCAGGTCAGACTCTGACAATGCTGTACTGTTGTTTTAATTTTCCTGAGCAYCCAGGCAGGTGAGAGCATTTTAATCCTGAGCACCTAGATGAATTACTCTCAGAATTTTACCTCTCAGGTCATTGTCCTGAGCCCTAAAGACGTGAGTTGGCCCACAGTGGTTGTAGTGGGTTTTATATAAAGATGTATATTTTAGGAGATCTGACATCATGCATTGGCATGATACAYGGGGGRAAACTTACAAGAAGTCCACAGTGATCATGGTTTTAGAAAGGCTGTGAAGGGTCTTTTTCTCAACCAACATGGAAGCCAGCTAAGCATGCTTGTTCTGAGCCATGAAAAAAAAAACTATGCACTGTACATTGTGGAGTTAATCCTGAATCTCTTTAGAAGAGATGCCAGAGCTTCGGTCTGAATAATTATAAAGCAGACCATGTTTCATTGGCTTGAAGATTCAAAGTTTGCTTTAGCAGATAGATTGAAGTGGAGTTGTCTAGTTGGAAAGGGATTCTAGTTTGTGTAGCTTTTCCTATACCCCGACAATCTCCAAACACTGGCATATTTTCTGACACATTTACACTCACAACACATTAGAAGAATCAAAAAAGCTTCTTCAACTTGCAGTCAAGAAACTACAATGAAGGATTGTGGCTTTCAGATTTTAACAGATAGGTATCAGATTTATAGACCTAACAATCTGTTCTCTTAAAAGAGTCAACTTTTTAATCCCAGAACTGGCAAACAGTGTTGTTGAAGCAATGGCAGGACATAAATACACAGGATTTGTTTCGGTCTGTATGCTTCTTTCCAAGAATTTAATGTACTGGTCCCATCTCTTGTCTAAGGAATTACCATTGCTGGAACGAAGCTTGGATGACCAGACCTGACCTTCCTGTTGGTTTCGGAGGATGGCAGGTTGTTGATGGGACACCTCAAGAAACCAGTGATGGTAATAGTGCTTGAAGTCCTCCTTAGCTCACTTTGTAATGTTTGAGATCTTTGTGTCAAACAAGCTGGTGATAGCTGAGCCAGTGGCACCTGGCACCATCTGGCCAGTGGCTACTTCTTGAGTCAAATAACCACAGTCACCTCAGGGCCTTCTCCTGAATTTTTTTGAGCTCCAAAATAAATCTGTCCTTATTATAACACTGCTCATGGTGCCTGGGCACAAAATCCTGCATGAGAAGTGCCCTGCTTGGTACAGAAGAGATGTAACCCTGTTGCTGAAGATGGCTTTTAACATTTCAGAGTGCCTATACAGAAGCCTGATCAAATTAATTCTCCTTTATTTTGTGCAGCCCTAACTAAACTTCATAAGCAGGCAGTAGGCAGGGGAGAAAAAAAGTGAAAAGTCACTGCTGTTTCTTCCAAGCCCTTAGTTTTCCAGCCCGTAAAATACAATCTTCACAAATTTGTGGTGAGGTCTTTCTCAGCCCATGGTGTACCCGAGTCCTCCCAAAATTATCTGCTTTGACCAAAACCAGTAGTAACTGTGTTTGAAGCACTTGAAACTTACAGTGGATGTTGTAGTGCCATTAAAAGTACTGAATGACCAGGTTGTTCCAGACTTGTTCCAGAACTATRTGTTATCTACAGAGCTGACAACAAAATTAAGCTTTTTGCTTCTCAGTCAGGAGTTCCTGTAAACTATTAAAGAAGTATTTCAAACCCCAAGAAATCTTTTTCTTTGAGAAAATATAATATTTTGACATGTTTTAAATTAATTTAGTGTCTCACTTTGTCTCTCTTCTCGTCATAGGTATGTACAGGTGTGGTCCGGCCTCAGTTCAAGCCATTAAACATGGTCATGTTTGCTTCCAATTTGATGCTCCTTTTGTCTATGCTGAGGTACACATGTGAAATTTTTTACTGCAATGAGTGATATCAGTGAGAGCTGATAGTAAGAGAGAAGATAGGGTTCCACTGCAATCTATAGATTGAGAAGTTACTTCATGTGGACTTCATGTCACAGAACAATCTTACTATATTTTGACATGCAGGCCAGTAGGTGTGATATGGCTCTAATGAATGACAGAGATTTCTCTAATCTCTGCTTCCCAGTGTAATACTCAGAAAAGGTTACTCTGACTCCATTAAAACTTCAGGCTGTGGTCACCTTTCCTTCCAAGATTCAGCTGGGCTGAATGGGTCAGTAGCTCTAGCTAGTGGAAAATGGGTCACTAGCTCTAGCTGCTTATCCTCTTTGCTCACCACATTCTTTTTGGCTGCTGTGGATCATGGGGATCTCACGTGGATGATTTGACTGAGAGATCTGAGAAGGAAATATCTCAATAAGGAGACAGAGGGCCTTGTCTGGAGTTTTAACTGCTTGCATCACCAGAGGAGGCAYGCCCAGAATTGCAACGCTGCAGGTCAAGTTCCTCTTTAATTGAGTTGTAAATAGCTTAGGACAGAAGATAATAAAGATGTTTTATCTATTAAGCATTCCACTCTCCATTTCTAAAGCTTTTGGTACAAGTAATGTACAGCAGTGCTGCCCAAATTTGAATGATCTRTCTGTAGTCTTGTAAAGTTTACATCCTCTCTCATTCTAGAGCTGTGAACAGTAAAATGCATCTCAGCATACAACTGATTTTAAACATGAAATTTTGATGTGAATAATTAGTGCCACTTCAAGCCAATGTATCATTATTTTGAGGGGAGAKAGGCTGACTTCTCTTTCTCTCCCTGTATCCATATATCTCAATCTTTYTTCATTTAATTTCATAGGTGAATAGTGACATTTTTTACACAAGAAGGGAGAAAAATGGAACCGAAGTGGTAGAAAGCATTGACACAACACGTATTGGGCAGTTGATTGTGACCAAGGAAGTTGGAGGTGATGGAATGATGAACATTACTGAGGAGTACAAGTTCCGAGAAGGTAACCTGAAATGATCTGGGACCATTCGGATGTAGACTTACCTCAGTCAGATCTTGGATGATGACTTGGAAACCTCTGTCGCTGAGGGAGCTTCCTGAAAAGCTGCCAAAATGCACTCTGGAACTCTGKAACTCCATCCCAGAAATGCTGTATATGCCTTGATCACAAGGCACAAACAGAGCACAAACTTTGCTGCTCAGAAATGCCTGAGAGTAAGTAAGTTGTAGTGAAAATGAAGGCTTGTCATGTAGCAACTCAAAGCATTCAAAATAATTCAAGGCTTTCTGTACAGCTGTTTAGACATTTCTTCCTCAGACCAGATGTTCACACATAGTAAATCAGTGTAGCAGTGTTARCAGGAATTCAGCTACATCACTTTTTCTGATACAGCTTTAACACCAACTCCCTTGGATGCTGTGACTTTCTCCCACTGCTAGTGTTACACCAGGAGGGTTCACTGTCCTCATCCCTTCATTTCAGCTACTACAAGCCATGGAAGACACACTGTTGTGATCAGTAGGCGAGCTAATGCCGCACTTGTTTCTTTTCTAAATGTGGTTTTCATTCATTCCTAGGCTCAGACGAGGAAAGGCTGGCTCTCGAGGCTGCTGTGATGTATGGTGTCAAGAAGCAAAGTACCCAAGACACGGCGTACCAGCCACAGAYGGATGTTGACATGGACTTCCATGCGCAAAAGGCAGTCCTTGGCAATGACTTCAAAGTCACTATAACTTTCAGGAACAAAAGTCGCAACTCCTACACTGCTACTACCTACCTTTCATGCAACATAGTGTTCTATACAGGAGTCACAAAAAGTGAATTCAAGAARCACTCTTTCAGTGCAAAACTGGAGCCCTCTTCATGTAAGACTTGCATAGTTGTTYTCTGTGTTATTGAGTGCTAGGTTTTTTTCTGTGTTATTAACTGTCACTAATATTTCCACCCATGGGTAGAACCAATTCTAGTAACTAGGGGTAGRATATTGTATTGGGTTTCAGAAGGATCCCCTCCCTATCTTGGCTGGATACCAGCGTCATTAAAAACTGAGGCTGTTTCTTCAGGCTGTTATTCCCTTCATGATGCTCTTTTACACCAAGCTGCATRTCTGGGAATTGTTCATTTTTCTTATTTAGTACAAAAGAAAGCAAGGTGACACAGGTATTAAGCTGCAAAGTATTGTTTTTCCTTTGAATGCCTTTATTTCCCAGCAAGTGCCTTTATTTTCTCAGCAAGTGAAGGGGAAGTTCTCATTCATGTGTCATGTGCAGAGACAAAGAGGGTGAGTTTTGTCTCAGTGAGAAGCTTCTGTGGAACGACAGTTCCTATCAGGCCACAAAAAAAAAAAAAAAATCTTCAGCTTTCTTTTTTACTTTGAACATCATCTGAAACTGCACATTTTATTTGGATCTGATTAATCTCCATAAAGTAGAAGTCCACTGATAGGGATCTACTGGTAAATGTTAACAAAACTTCTGCCTCTGGTCTGTAACAAAGTCCTGAGAGCTGCTTGCTGATTCTTCCTAACTCCCTGGCTCTTTTGCATGGGGCCTGGAAATGGACATTGGGTTGTTCCAACACAGGCTATCGAAATACAATGTGAGGGTTCATAGTGACTTACATCTGTCTAAACTTAGCTTTATAAATATTTGATATGAAATACTGCAAAACTTTTGGAGATTTGAATAGGTATAGGAAAACTCATGAGTTTCAATAGCCTTGGTCTAAATTCTGTGCTGCTTCTTTGATGAGGGGAAATTCAGTCATCTTGTAGCAGTAGTGCAAATACCTGCTACACTTTCTGGCTGTGATTTGTGCTTGGTTCCAGGACTTATTTATGCCTGCTCTTGCATCAAAGATCTGTGTAGGGTATTACTACCTGAAATACAGTTTCTGCTGTGCTTTGAGATTCACCTGGCTTCTCTCTGTGAGAAACGAAATTAATAGATGTTTAACATCACTGAGCATCATAATTCATTTTTTGTAAGTTAAGTAAATGCTTTGAAAATGCTTCTTGAAATCATGCTGGAAACTCTGAATTGAGTGATGGTGAGTGAGCACAGACGGGGGAGAGACACCTGAAAGAACAGAACACGGATTTTTATGTATGTGTAGCAAGAGTATGTCCCCATCACTGCTTCTGGCTAATGAAACATTTCTGAAGTTATTCCCACTTTTCAAGGGTGGAAATTAGCTTATATCTGAGCTACAGTCATCAACTTGTGGGGCACTTTGTCCTGCACCAGGACAAAAACTCCTCACAAATTACACMATTTATGAAGGTGATACATGAAGTTTGAGCATGAATTCTTTCACCTTTGCCTTGGAAAGAAGTACATGTGGAATCAGGAATAGTGTCTGAGCAGGTGGRTGGTGTGAAGGAAGGGTGTGTGATTATCTGCAAGTGCATGAGAACGCTCTGTCAGGGGTGTAATGGGAGGGTACCTTCAAAGGCACTCAAGCAGGATTTGTAAGCTTTCTTCAGGGCAAGAAGCATGTGTGTACRTATGTKTGTATATATATAAGTAACCAAAAAATTACAGTACAAGAAAGACGTGTTAAAGGCATTCTTTCAGCCCATGCTATTAAAAGAATTGAGCAAGCTAAGTTTTCAAACTGGAAATGAACGAATGATTTTCAGAATAATGATTAAAGGAATTGTGTGGGTTGAAAACATCTTTGAGGATTCAGATAGCTTAAAACTTCCAGTGCCTTCAAAGGTGCTCTCAGATCTACTGAGTTATATTTAGTTTTCTCCATTATTTTGGAAGACTGTAAGGCAACTCAGTGTTGTGTCTCCCTTGGCTTTCCAGCACAACCAGTTCTAAGGAAGTGGAAATTTCTTCTTTTTTTTTCCCTACAGTGATTGAAGTTAAACTGAAAAGTTTGTCTTTTCTTCCACTGTAAAGCAAATTTCTCCTGGTTTGTAGCTAATTTATTTATTTACTTCTTAGATGAGAAATACCTCACCTGATTTATAATTTACAGATAAGGGCATTATGGGAAATTCCTTTGCATAAGATAAGGAGTGAGAGGAAGGGAWCAAGAACACATCAAGTAAATTTAAGGCTGGCCTAGTAAATCCAGGTCAGGTGGCTTCCAAGGGAATAGCTTGGAAACCAAAACAAGGAACTGGTTTTGATGTGAGCGGATCAAAAGAGTGAAAAGGGGTGAATGTCATTTACCCAACCCAAACACTGAGTTCAATTATCTCAGTGTTTWCAGTGTGTGTCACAAATACAATACAAATAATGGATAACAGTAATCATCATAGGTAACAGATGGGAGACCTTGATGTGTTTACTAGGCTTATAATGAATGTTTATAGAGAGAAGASCTCCAGGTCTATATATTTTTCTTGGTCAGTTAGTTAGCAGGTCTGATTCTCTGCATCACATTCTCACACCATTGTTGGCCTGGGAATTGCAGTTCAATATAGTTAAAATTAATGATTCCCTGCTTCTCAACTGTCTAGCCTACAGGGACTTGTTCCTTCCAATAATTATTGTCAGGAAGCACATGAAAGCTCTCTGGAGATCATGCTGGTGACAGGAACACCTTCTTGCCAGATTTTGCAGGCTAGTGTAGAGAAAAGGCAGATATCCAGACATGTCCTGGAGAGCAGATGATCTCCTAGGCAGCCTGGATGGGCTCACACTTCCCAGCTGCTGCTCGGGTGACATCCCTGTGCCAMGAAGAAAGGCAAAGAAAACATAGGAATAAAGTGAAATAGCAAATATTTACAGGAATGACACTCAAAAGCTGTTTTGGACCTTTGTTCCCACTAGATATTTATTTCCAGTCTTCCTGCTCATTTTATTTTGTGGTAGCTCCTAGAAACATTTAACAGTGACCTTTGGCCCAGCTGAGGGTAGTGGGCAGAGGCTATGCACAAACTCAGTCCTTGCCCCTGGGAGCTCACAGCTAAATGGAAAGAGGAAAAAATTAWAGGGGAAATGGTGAAGTAAAGAAATGAAGTCAGTTTGGGGAAAAAAATCAAAGCCATTCTTTGGCTCATAAGGCCACCTTTTTTCCAAGGCACTCATGTAACTGATATTGGCTGTGATGGGAGGAGCAGTCAGTGATCAGATTGCTTCAGATRCCTTTTTTCTTTCCCATTTCTCCCCTCAGCCAGCTCTTTTGACGTTGTGATCAAATCGAGTGAGTACATGAGTGAGCTGCTGGAGCAAGCCTCCTTTCATTTCTTTGTGACTGCRCGGATCAATGAAACGGGCAAGATTCTGGCCGTGCAGAAGGCCATCATCCTGGAAGTTCCCACCCTGAGGATCAAGGTAGCTCAGGGTTGTGGTGGGAGTGATGCATGGGGTATTGTCTACAAAGCTGTCACATTGAYCTGTGGGGAGGAGTGTATGTATATGTGTGCACATCAGAGTGTCTAACTTACAGATCAGGGTCTGGCTGGAGTGTGTGAGGGTGTATCGGTGCATTATATAATGTATTGAGTGTCCCTACATTGAAGAGAGAGGCTGACAGCAGCACTGGTGGTAAAGAGCTGAAATTATCTCAGTGGAGGAAAGCAGGGAAAAGATCWGAGAAAGCTGAAGAAACTCAAAGGGTAAGAGAGATTACTCACTCAAGTCACTCAAGTTCYTTATCCACTTCAAAAGTCTATTATATTTAAAGCAACACAGCACAGGGGCTTCTTGTTGAAGAATGAAGAACACTGCAATTGAAGTGGTTTTGCTGCGAGAGCTTCTGCAGGTATTGTGGAAAGTTTCTCCAGACTTGAACAGGCAACATGATTTGGGACAATGCCTGAGGATTTCAGTGCTTTGCTGCCACTCTGTGAGTGTAGTGTCAGTGTTATTCTCTGAAAGTTGAAGCATTTCTGCAGAACTATAATACCTGTGAAAGTGGAGAAGTGTAATGCTTGTGATAGGACAAAGAGCCTATGTTGTATGGCAAGCACAGGGCTGGGATTTAGATTTCTCAATTCATAACTGAGCATCTAAATAAATTGCATTGTTTTCAAAAGCACCAAGCTTGCCTCTGCTTCGAATGATGGAATTTGGATCTGCTTTTCTCCTAATACTAGAAAAAAAAAACAGAACACCTGTTCAGGTAGCTTTATACAAGCATGAATACAGCCCCCTAAAATCCATGATCTTGAAAGAAATCTAAATGTATATAACTTTTCCCCCTTATACATTTATTTGAATCAATGATCTATATAATATTTTATGTAGCAACTGCAGCATTACACAGAAAAAGCTGTTTTAAAAGTATGGATCAAAACTACAGCAAAGTTTGCAAAACATCCACTCTGGTTCATGATCTTCAGAAATACCATGGTGTCCTGATCAAATAATTGTATTTCTGGTTTACTGAGCATTCTAGAGAGATAAATAAAACAGATAAATTCTACTTCAAATAACCTGTCTTCAGTAATCAAATTTAAAAAGTAAAGAATTCTTTCAATTCAGTATTTAAACAGAACATCTTTTACATCATCTCAGATTTTCAACTTCAAAATAGTTTRTCCTCCCTGCTATTCTGAAGAAAGGATTTTTAGCATACAGGATAGGCTGTTGTCTAAAACCAATGTTTTTTAGTAAAACCAAATTTCTCTCTTTTGTTCTTTGTAATGYATGAAAATACACTGAAATTTTAAAAGCTGGATTTTTTAAAGAATGTGTGTGCGTGTGTGTGTGTACATGTGCATGTATTGATAGAGGAAATTTTCATTTATTTCTTTTTAAAGAAATGTGAGAATGTTTATCTATTTAGTTTTCTTGCCAAGTTTGATCAGTGAAAGTGACTGACACACTGGATTTCTTAATGTGAGAGTGAAGAATGAAAAATCGTATCTCCTGTCATGTCTTTGAATACATCTTTGATATTCCTCTGTTAGTCTAAGGAGATTGTCAGACTCAACAGTTGAGGAAATTACACTGTATTCTAAGCTTGAGACCAGKTTGCARAAATAARATCAGCAAATACATATCATGGTCTSAGCTGCATGTGTGGGACTTTAGGATGATTTTAAATCACACCCAGTCACCTTAAATGGTCAATTGAAATAAGAAGGATATAAGATCTCGAGCTGAGCCAGGAGTTCTGAAATTGCCACTGATGTCCTTTTGTAAATTGAGAGCTTAGCTGTATCTCCTCCTCTACTTGAATCATTGCATTGGTATTTGGCACAGAGTGATTCCTTAGACAAGTGTCTATGCAGCTTTTTGCAAATGTCATACTTCCTTAAAACAGCACTTCAAATTTATTAACAAGATACTTGTTCTTAATTACCTTTCTCAAGGCCCTTTAAATCAGTTGATGGACCATGGATTTGGAAGAAAACTGGCCTTCAGGCCTCCATAGAGCACATGTGCAGGGTTAGAAAGCCTTTGGAGCATGAAAAGAGAATGCAAAAGCAAGGGGAAGATGGGCATGGTGGTTTTGAGKGTACAACCACTGTAGCCGGGTGCTTCTGATTTAGGGTAATAAGTCCTGCCCTTTTCTTCTGGAGCTTGTGTCCTGAGCAGATCTCCTCAGTGCTGTGGGGAGCCTGAGGAGGGGGGCACAGTCTGAGAGAGAGGCACCCTCAGCTGGAGTCCCCCTCAGCTGCACCTTCAGCTCCTGAACCGAACATGAAGATTTGTGGTTTTCTATGGAATTGAGGGCCTGCCTCTTGATCTGCCATGTGGTTTGAGGGAAAACTGTAATGGGTGGAAAACTGTGCCGTGRTACCTATGAGCCCCTCCAACATTTTTCTTCTCACTGGGCTTTCTTTGCCTTGTGCTGTTTTGCTGTGTGCTCCATTGTCCTGTCTTGAAAGTGCTGTGTGCCTGTTATTATCACTTTCTGGTGCATTGTCCTTTCCTTGTTTGCAGACCAAAGGTGAACTGGTAGCTGGTAAAGAAATGTCCGTGATTGTGGAATTCACCAATYCTCTGAAACAAACCCTGGAGAACGTCACGCTGCGCCTCGAGGGACCTGGYGTGCTGAGAACAATAAGAAAGCAGTTCGGGTAGGAAAGAAAGCACAACCAGCTGGGAGTTTGTCCCYTGCTTGCTCACAGTAGGAAGCTCACAAGAGACACTTAACTAATGCTGTGCTGAGTAGTTTAATTCAAACACTCTCTCTGTGCTTTAAAATACAATACACAGGGGAGCTATAGGTCTCAATACTCAGACGAAGTCGGGCTGTCCAGAGAGACTGTGAGAGCATTTCATCTGTTCAGTACCAGGGTTGGAGAAATGGATAGTGTTTCTGGGTAGCTGCTAGTGCCAAGTTTACTTTTTCACTGTATTACATTATTTTTAGCACTTGACAATAGCACCTACGAGCTGCTATCACAGAGAGGAAGATTTATCCCGCACTTGAAGTGTTTACTGCCGCTCACTCAGCATGTGCAAATCGAGTCTTGTGCTGTTTTTCAGAAAGGGCTTTTCTCTGCTCGTGTTAATCATGATTATAAAGACGTTCAGGTACCTCAGATGATCTTTTCAAGCTCRTGTCAAGACACAAAATGTGCGTTGTTTGCAGAGCGTGCTGGCATAGCTGTGGCATGTGTGTGAGCACACAGCTCCCCCCAGAAGCTCCGCTGCACAGGGCTGCCCTGGCACACAGCCATGYTCCCAGACCTGGGTGCTCCCAGACCTGAGGACAAGGAAAGCCACCTTCATTACTCTCAGAATCACACCTCACGCTGACACCATGATACCCCTACACTAAGCAAGGTTTAAATCCTTTTTCCATTTGAGTTCAGTGTTATGAGCTTAGCATTAGCCAAGGGTATATAATGGAGAAACTTTGAAAATTTTGAGGCTATTGCTTAGTCCTGGGCATCTATCTGTCTGGGCTTAGTATCTATCATTACCTGAGCTGATGGTCCCCAGGTGTGTAAAAAACGAGTTTGAAAAATTGCCTGTGCTTCAGCAGCTGCATAAATTGTCAGCATCCTCTGCAGCCGGCAGGGGTGGTCTGAGCCTGACTGCACCAGGGACGGGGATAAAAAGATCAAAAGCAGTCTCCAGAGTGGAGCTGATAGAAAAATAATTGTGAAAGGGCAACATACCGTGTTTGCTTTGTGCACATGATATGTCACRGGTGCTGCTGAGCATGACTCAGCATGGTCCGCAAGAGTTACACAAGTTGTAGCAATAGCCCTCTTTGCTGCCCAGCCGTGCCCAGGTTTCTCTGTTGTTCTGCATCCTTTTCAATCCAAAAGCTTCTGTGGACTGCCCTCATCCTCAAGGATGCAAATTGTCAGGTGCATCAAAGCCACAAGAGTTAGGGGAGAAAAATGACTCATGGAACRCACATAATTTTCCTTGGAGTCACTGTGTTTTCCCCTTTTCAGTAATGCCCTTGGCAGCATTTAAAATGGAAATGGATCRGCTTAGTCATTTTAAGATTTAAGTTCTCTGAGATGAATGTAGGATGCAGGTGATACACACAGAGGACYGAGCAAGGGGCAGTTGTAGTTTATTTAAATAATAATCACATTTGTCTCCATGCATTCAAAGTGATAAATGGCTCCAGTGTGGTGATGGCTCAGCATGTTATGCAGAATCATTCATCACTGAGCTCTCTCCCAGGAAAATCAGGGTGTCTTTACTCCATTTGCAAAGAGAATTAAACACATTCTAAGCTATCCCCCCCTTCCAATGCTTTCCTATTTACCAGGGACAGTCACATATGGGATGGRGCTAGTACAGCTCTTTGTGGGGATAAGGTTTTTGACCTCTGTGCTTTTAAGGTAGCTTTTCAGTATCACTTGAGTGGCTCCACAAAACAGGTCATGTGTGACCCAGCTGATACAACATTATTCTAGCAATGTACTGGCCTGGGGGCTTCAGTCTTGATCATTCATAAAGTCTATATATAGATATCGATATTGATATTTAGCTATTAGCCTCAGACAAATGAGGAGCATGAGTTATGGAAAAGCCTTTGGCAGCAGCAATTCCTACATGGGGCATAGTCTTTGCATGACAAATGAGAATTAACCAGGCAGTGATGGATAGTGCTCAAAGGATTATAGCCAAGCATGCTTTCACACTAGCAGGTAAGTCATTCTGGGTGTTTCTGTATGTCAAAGCTAAGCTAGTATTAGCATAGTAGAGAGACAGGAAAAGGTGGGTTTTGGTTCCCAGCACAGCTATTGTCTCCCTGCACGCACACACACACACACACACACACACACACATATAAATACATAGGTACTGAGATGATAGCACTGTAAAACATGGGTGGTAGCGCTACCCTCGCTCACTATAGCACTGCAAAGTTGTGGCCTAAAACCCTTCATCCTTAGAGATTCTGACCCCCCAACTACTCAAGAATTGTGGTCTGTCCAGCAGACTTGTATAATAACTTCTTCACTTTCCATACAGATGATCCCTTGCAGATAATTCCCATAGACTCTAACAGGTATTTTACCTTCTTCAGCTRTTGAAGTCATTGCTTTATTATGATTCCATTTTAGTGGGCATCTGGTGGGTGCAAGCAGAGCAGCTGAGGGGAATAAGATATCTCTCATTAATAACRAAGATAAAAAGAGGGGAATGCTTGCTGGAAGCAGTCTGCGCACGCTCMCACCAAAATTATGATCTTTCTCTGCTTTTTGTTTCTAAAACTGGATACATGCCCCAAGGTACCTATATCTGTATATGCAAAATGCAGTGCAGTACCATGTAGAGMTACCTAAGCTAACCTCTAAGGAGCTGGAGTATCTCTCATTTTACCAGGGGCACACTTGCACTGAAACAAATACTCAGGTGGGAGGATTCCAGGCTARCTCATTTAGAGCTAATTAAGGTTTCTTGTGTCATGGCAGCTTGTGCTAAGCCTGGGCAGACATTTCTGTCCTGACCCTGGCAYAGGACATGGCACCTGAGAACCAAATCTTACCAGGTGAGAATATGAAACACTATAGAATGAGAAACTGAAGTATAGGYTTGCTTTGCTCTCACTTTGTTCAGGTGTTTTCAGAACACTGTAGCCATATGCGATAAGACCACTGCTTGAACTCATCATCCTCTAATTTAATGCTGAGGAAAAAATCATTTATTTTCATAAATGGCTCCCCACTACACTATTTGTCTATTGGTTCTTTTGGAGCAGTTGTATCCCAACATGCCCCAAACACAATCAATCAATCAATCAATCAATCAATCAATCAATCAATCAATCCATACCAGTCTTCAAAATCTGCATACAGAACATTGTGAAAGCACTGAGAAAACACAGAGACTGAATACTTGAGGCTCTCTGTGCCTAATTGTAGCAAAAATCATGAAAATCAAGAGCAGTGCAGAATACCATTGTTTTACATGTGARTTATCAAGAGTCATACATAATGTAAAGGAGTAACCACCACCAGCAGGACTCCCAAGAGTACTTTGGCTTGTTTGTATGGATGTGAGGAAGTCATCTGAARTGGCCACTTCAAAAGAGATCTGCTGATGTTAACCACTGTGGCCACATGGTTCAGGGTAGGAGAGGCAGAGGGGTTCAGCATCTCATCAGCCCTGCATTGTGTTTGCAGGGAAATGCCCTGGACACTTCATAGCAAGGACTTATTTAACCCTTTGAGWAACCACCACCAGGCTATAGGCTATAATAAACAGGAAAAAATTGAATTATAAAGTAGAAGAAAAGTATGTTAGATATAAAGAAAGTAATTCTGAAAGTAATCATGAGAGGAACTGACAGGAGGCAGAAGAAAATGGATTCATTTTGGAAATTTAAAATTAGCCTGGAGGAAAGGCTAGAAAAGGCTTTGACAGGGTCAGTTCTGAGAGGAATAGAAGATGGAGAGAATAATTTATATTACATTTATGAGAATGAGTGGAACATAAAAGATTTGAGACATGTTACATTATCCATCCACATTATCCATGTTACATGATCGGTTTCTGCTGGTGTTTGTCAGGTTGAGATCATTGGCTGACTGACCACGATATTGATACTTTTCTTTTTTTCTACAGGAGAATCCCCATGAATTCTACATTRACCTGGGAAGTAAAATGCATCCCAATGCGACCAGGTTTACGGAAGCTGATTGCAAGCCTGAATTCTGATGCTTTGAGGCATGTGTATGGTGAGCTGAATGTCCAGATTCAGAAACCATGAATCAAGGTGCTGCCTTCTCTCATTTAGCTATACTTCAAAATATCATGGTAGGAGGTAGCTGAGGGAGAGGTATAAATCTGCTTATTTTTATTTTGGTCATCCTTGTGCTGAAAGGATTTGATAAAGCAAACTGAGTGGTATGATGGGGGAGAGCATAAAAAAGCACCTGGATGATCAATGATTTAAAATTAGATACATGTAATTAAAGGCAATTCTAGGTCATATTATTCCTATAGTTCACTTGTATTTATGGTCTTTTGCATTAGGGCTGCAAGGGAATTTGAAAAGCTCCATTTGCCAGAGTAATCTGAACTTTAGTTTTAATTAAGACCTGGTATTTCACTGGAAAAGGAAGAAAAAAATTGAAGAATCTGGTATTATAAATTCTTAGACTGAATTCCACAATGTTATGATAGATCATTCAGGCTGCAATAGAAGCAGGTATTTCTAGCTAAAGGGTCTGCTTTATCTTACAAATTAATAATGTTCTGGTTCATGAGAGCTCACTTTGCTGCAAGCATCTCTCAGGATGTTTTATCTCCAGAATATTCTCAGCCCCTTGTTCCCTCTTGCAGTTTCCCTAAGCTTTTTCTCCTAYTCTTTCATGTATGCAGGCATGCACACATACTCTCTTCATACCCTCATCACACCCTGTATGCTGTTGATTTGCTGTTCCTCTGCTTTGCTGGGTGAAAATGCAGTTTTTCTGCCCCTGCTCAGAGTTTATCACACCAAACATGCATTTGCTGGCCCTATCTCGTGTGTGTGATGTGCTCTCTCTTCACTGTTCTCTGCCTTTTTTTCTCTCCTGTACTTGCCCTGTAGATACATTTCCCACATGGGTGTATCAGCAGTGTTTGCTGTCCCAGAGCAGTCCAGGCTGGCATATGGGATGGAAGAAAGAGGAATRGAGCAGGGAGCTTGGGGGTCATTTCCTGCAAGTCCCACAAGCCTTGCTAATATCCTGCACTGAGCTGGGGGTGAGTTTGGACTGAAAATATGAAGATGAGTTTAGACTAAAACGGGCCTGAAAGTTCCCAAGAACCATGACTAAAACAGGACAAGAGTTAAAACAGGACATGTTACATGAGTAACCCCAGGGATACAGAGGGACAGAAACTCCTTTGTGAAAGGAATAAAAATTTGTCCAGTGAGTCAGAAGCTTACACAGGCTGGATCTTGTTCCTGCTTTTTTCACAGCATATTCTTCTGGGAGGTGCAGTGGGGCCTTCCAGGGTATCGCTCCTCCCTTGAGGTCCTGGTGGCCCAGAAACTGCTCCAAATCTGCCATTCCATGCAGGGTCCCACTCTATCCTAAGCCCCGTACCCCATTGTGCTAGGGCAGCAGGGGTGTGTGTGTGTATGTTCATTTCTCAACTTTCCTGAAATTCTTTTTGGGATCTTTTTCATGAGACAAAGATGCATGTGCCACAAGCCGCAGCAACTCCCCTCCACAGGCCACAGTGTGTGTTTAAGAGCATGTTGTGTATTAACAGCACAGAGGAGGCAGCTGAGCTTCTAAAGGACTTAAAAGGAACCTCTTTGCACTTTAAACACTGGGGCTTTATTGTATGGCCATGTCATTTGTTGGTTTCAGTGAAAAGCAAGGGAGATGCCTTCTCTCCTACTGCTCTTGTTGCCACACCTTCACACATTGCCCACAGTGCCTCCTGCAAAACTGTAACCAGCTGTTAAAAATGAACAAGTCCTGGGAGAGGAGAAATGTGGGCTGCTCTTTTTATTAAAGCTTGGGGAGCAAAGCAAAAATTCATATTACCTCATATACTCTGGGAGTACCTCAGGATGCAGGAAAACCAAACTTTTGGGGGCTTTCACTTCAGGCAAGGACACACCCTCATTTTATATATCTTATGTGATAACATTAGAAACTTTGCAATGTCAAAGTCTCCCATGTAAGTCCTCTGGGGTAGAAGAGACTGARCAATGTGTTGTCAGTGCAAAGTGACAATCTCTGTTAAGTAATTAGGCAGTCTCACCAAGATCTACATCTTATAATAAAATTACCCATTTTGTGCTCTTGCATATAAACCTGCTTTCTATTCCAGACAATTTATAAATACAGTGTAACAAGAATTTAAAATAAAGCTTGTCTGATTGCACTTGTGTCTTGTGTTGTGTATTTTGATCAATTTTTTCTACATAGTAGCACTGTAGACCAGTTGCATTTGGTGCATCTTTACTGTAAAAATTATAAMATTTGCTTCTGAGCCATGCTCATAAAATTGTATTTTTGGTGAGGGTCTTATTTGAGTGGGTTGAACTTGTATCCTCAACACAACCATCAGAGCTTAGAGATGCACTGGGAGGAAATAGTCCAAAACCAAAACTCTGCCTCCACAGATCCCGCAGTCCARCAACTCAGAGTTACCAAATACAAACAAAGCACACCTCATTTGTTACCAGCTTGTTATATCCAAGATGTGGGGCAGGTTGCTCCAGTAGCCATCAATTTGTCACATTCCAAATCTTGTTATGATCAAAAGGAAACTCCAGCACCTTACAGGCAGACCTGGGAAGAATATATTGTTTGTCTTGTTAAAAATAATCTAATCAGAGAATTACTAGTAGCTGAAATAATTAGGAAGGAATAATATTTCTGTATTTTTATTATAACTATACTAATATTTCTAGTCCAGATCATATTAGGCAAAACTGGTAGACATAAACTTTATAGCATACTCCACTTCCTCTGCTTTTTCATGCACTTCTACACTGCCCCTGTGATATCTTCATTCTGGGTGGGGGCATGTGTTACAGCAAGTCACCAGTGTCCCAGGTCCTCCATTAAGCAGAGTCTGATATTAGTGGGGAGAGTTTATCTTCCTCTTCATTGGGATAAGTACAAAAGAAAGTTTCTTCCTCCTCACCCTATGATACATCAGAGGTCATTTTTACACACTTCCTAGTACACTCCACATCTTGTTCTTTTTTTATTGATTTGACTACACAGTGGATCCTAATTTGCTACATGTGATGCATTTTGCATGTTTTGGGTACCCATTGTTTGGTCTCCTTCATTACATCTAAAACCTGTCTTACCTACCTGCTAATGTTGTACCCTTTGACCAGAGCTGTTTGTGGCCCGAGGCCTCCCGTATCATCCTRCACCTGCACTGTCAAGGCCCCCGTTACCATCCCATCCTAGTAAACCTTTATGCTACATTTTATTTTGGGGTCATAAACAGTTCATTCTACTCAGAATAATTATCTGCTCTTACTGTCTACTAGTCACAAARAGGACACGTAACAGCAAGCATTTGACCATGCAATTGGATAAAGCACAGCAAAAACTAAAAGAAAGCCAGTAGGAGATACGAGGTCAGTAAATAATTGTTCTTGCAGGTAAAAAGCTTGACGAGCCCCGATGCCTGTGCTCCTAGGTTATCACCAACCTGTGATCTTTCACAAGCAATAGCAGCATCTGATTTGTGCAACAAAATGAGAAAATGTGACTGAGCATTGACTTTTCTAGTGRCTGGTTCTACCAGTGATAATTGGTTTGAACTCAAACTAATCAATAAATGCTTTGCCAAATTGGTGACACACCTGGCCCCCCGTCCTTTTCTGCTGCTGGATACTTTCCTTCCTGCTATGCCCTTTTCTCAGCATATTGCTTTCATGTTTGTCCTTGTTTTCCCCAAGGAGAAGGCTGTGGCTGCTGGTGTTCTCTTCTGAGTTTGAGTGATAGCACAACAGAGGAAAACAACCAGATCAGAGGAGGTGGGAAAACCAGAATTAATATCCCTGTTATGAAAGAGGAAAGTCAAAAGTGTACTGTAAGTGTTGATGGTAGGAGAGGATTTGTCTTGTATATTTGAGCTGGCATGATTGCTGAATTAGTAAGGGAGAGATGAGTGTGTGCTATGAAGAGGTCCRGGCCAGGCTCAGCCTTTTCCATGTCACCTTCAGCCCAACTCAAACAGGGTTGTACCTGTCTGGTCTCCACAGGATTAGTCTGGGAATAAAAGGGACCTTCACAAACATTCACGCTTCTCCTGCTCAAATTTTGGCTACCACAGAGTGAACACAAGGCACTGATGTACGCTGGAAGCAGCACCTCTGAAAGGCACAATGACACATAGGCAGGATGTGATGGATGGAGGGGGAGGAGGTCATTATGCAGCTGCCATCACCTGCAGCTTGCTGTCTCCTGCAGCCATAATCCTTGTGTAYTGATTGTGTGACAATTTCCTCAGAATTCACTAACTTATGGAAATGGTGTAGATCAAGCTTCCAAGCTGGCAGTTATAAATACATTGGCTTACCCAAAAATCTTTTGAAGTGGATCCAACAGCAGCCAGACTGCCGAGGCTTTTGTGCTTCCAGGTGTGAAACAGGGGACTCCCACAATTGATGGGGGAGGAAGATTGAGCACTCTCACTGTCTACTAGGTAACTGTTTTGTTCATTGCTGCATGAGTTGTGAGTTATGAATCAGAGTTGGCAATGAGTTGGCAATATAATGAATTAAGTGATGAATCAGTGAACTGGCATGTTAGACTAACTTGTGCAAAGTTTGAAGTGTCTGCTTTCTTTCCTAGTATGTTGGAAGAATAGAGTTTCATGTACAAAATACATTTTCCTGTCATTTTGAGCAATCCAAGTGCTTCATGACAACCTTAATTGAAGGAGTGGGAAACATCTGGTTTAATGAAAATGGTAATAGCAATGAGTGGTGTTGAAAATGGAAGTATTTTGCTTATGCAACAGGAATATCCTAGTTGGGCACAAATGCAACATAAAATCTCTGTTTGAGAGCTGTGGCGGCTCTTTCTTTTGTGCTCTTTCACAACTTTGTTAGATTTGGGCATTTACCAAGGAGATTCCCAGGTGTGCTATCAACAGATACAAGAAAATATCTTGGATTTACTTTGAACCTCATTCTCCCAATGACCTCCTTTGACATCATGTATATCTGGTACTGGGAGAATCAGAGGCCTTCCCTCTCTGGCATGTGAACTAGATATTCATAGACATCTGAAATGCATTTCACCCAAATCACATCTTCTTCAGATATAAGAGTCCTACCTCAGTCACTTTGTGCATGGTAACTCTTCCATGCTTGTGATCAGTCTTGTTTCTCTCCTTTGAACTTCTCCCAATATTATGTCACTTTAAGWACTATTTCGACACAGCAGTTTTAAGCATCTCATTTTGAAAGGACACTGCTAATGAGTGACTGACCTACCTGTGCAGGGAGAATGTGGGTCTCTTGGTCCCAGATTTATTAGGTTAAACCTGGGCTCAGCTGTGGCTGAAACAGGATCAAAACCTGTTCTTGTTGCAAGACCTGGTTGAACACATATTTTGCTTTTGCATGCATTGTTTCATGAAATACCTGACTGTCATACAAGTGTGACTGCTCTTGATAAGACCATGGACCATCTTTCTACTGCAGTTTACTGGCAATAAGTAGGGCATTAACATTTGAAAACCAACTGKTTTTTTCTTCACTATGTAGATTCAKAGGATTYTGAGATGCTCTTAAATGTTATCTGCATGCTGCTCTTCTTCAAAGCAAATATGTCTCAGAATCTCAGTGGTTGTGTGGTGCTCTTCAGGTTGTTTTATCGGATTGCAAAATTSCTCTGTATGGAAATAGCCTGCAGAATAATAGTGAAATGCTGCTGTGAACTTCAGACAGCTGCACAGGAAAAAACTCACAGGGTAAGGGGTAAAATCTAGTCAGCTGTAGCTCAATTTTAATATTCTTCACCTATGTTTGCTTTASTGAGTTTTACAGGAGCAGATCTTTAGAGTGCAGGAGCTGGCATTGAGTACCCAATAGCTACCCTGTATTTTGCAGGGTTTATGTTAGACTTGCCCATTTCTGGTCTCAATAGCTGTGAGCCCTTGGAGAGCCTTTGATGCAATTTTCAATCGCTCTTCACTCTTCAATCAGTTCAGACAAAACTGAGCTGATCAAATATGTGCTCTTAGATCACGGTGATATGAACTAAAACACTGCAAGCAATTGTTTCAAAAACCTGTTCCTGTTCAGAAAATGTGAGGGATGGTCAAGGCCTCAGCATCTGTG